CAGGAATGCATAACCAAACAATGTCAGTTAATTAGTAGATAAAGCACATCTCGAAACTTTACCACACAGTTTACATAATTGTATATAGCATTTTATGATTGCAAAAGGCTTGACACTGCATGAACTCTTTGGGGAAGAAAAATAGAGAAAAAGGGTTAATTGCACATTCATGCAAGTAAGGTTAGGCTTCCAACAAATATTGAACCAACTTACTCTCTAAAGAGAGTTCCAACACAGGGGACAGCATGCAAAATGAAAACAAAAACAAAAACAAAAAACAACAACAAAAAAGGGAAAAAGATAAAAACACACAAATTAGTGGCCATCAATACAAAGTTCCTGTATGGAATATAAAACAAAATAAAACAAAAAAAGTATTTCAAAACTTTTGTGATAAATTTAGTAATTTTATTGGGATACCCAATGTATTTTAAAAGTAAGCATTTGGCAAGTCCTTCAAATCATTCTCCTATTTTCTCCTCCAAATGATATTATTACTCTCTTTTTCTAAGCAATTCCTTACATCCAGCTATCTTGTTAAGGTAAACCTTTAGAAAAAAACAAACCAAAACAACCAAAAGTGATGACACTTGAAAAGAGTCTGAAATGAGATTTGTGTAGCCGTATGTATGTGATAAATAATTCACAGCTCATGAACTCTTAATACTTAAAGGATCCTCCTCATAATATACTGACAACTATTAATAGTTTTGCAACACCAAAAAGCAGGCAAGATTGCAGTGACTGGAAGAGGTGTACCACATATGCTATAACACAGGCCAAATTTTTGAAATCAAAACAGTATTATTTTATGTCAGAATGCCAAGTAAAGAAAACAATCAGCTAGAATAATTCAATGTAACATTCCTAAAGGCTTAATGAAAAGATAAAATGCTCTTCTGACACATACAACTAAATTTTGGAACATATTTATTATCCTTCCCTAGCTCCCCCACTACAAAAAAAAAAAAAAAAAAAATCTCCTGCCTAGTTCCAACGCGTGCATAGCTGCAACATTAATTAACACAAGAATAAGAAAAATTAGACCAAGCTTTTATTCACAATTTTGTCATTACTTCATTTAAAAAAAGCACTCATATTTCAACATTTAATTTTCTTTCCTCTCCTCTGACTTAACTGTTCTTTTTACGGAATGTTTTCTTCAGTTTCTCTTTAATTGCTTGGCTTTAGTCTTTCCTTCTGGATTTCTGCAGTATGTAAGCAACTTTAATATCATATTGCTATGTGCAATGCAAGTTTCTTCCAAAATACACGGTGTCACAGAGAGCAGCTAAGTCACTTTTTCCAGTAGGAAAAATAAGGAGGACAGATGAACACAAAGGTAACCTGTCAAGACTTCTCATCACTCTGAATTTAATTTTCCATTGCAGCAATAAGGAAGACTTAAAATTACGTTAAATGTACTGCACAATCAAAGTAGTTTTTCTGAATTCTGCTGGGAAAAGTCAATACTTCTCAAATAACTAATTTAGTCTGAATTGTTCTGGGTTATCATTTCACCAATTCTGAAACATGGACATAAAGTGGGACATCTTATACCCAACATAAAAGATAAGGTTTCTTCCAAACAAGCCTAGAATTCAAACAAAATACGAAGTTACATGCTTTTTATATGATTCATTATAACTTTATTCAGCTCCTTATTTACCTGCAGTCCGTTTGCTATGGGAAATTACAGTATATATGAAGCAGTACTAGTAACCCACCTCCCACAAAAATTGTAAAAATAATATCAAGCAAAGTCAGTCAGGTAAAAAGATTTTCATGGTCTTAGAACACAGAAGTATTACTTTCCTTGTTACATCATCCATACTGGGTCTTTACCTAGGTAAAGGTGAATAAAACATCGCATTTCCTTTTATACTGAAGTATAGTTTCCACCTTATTTATTGAATACTAATAACGACGTAAAAATGATTCAACAGTCTCAAGTGCTAGCCCTATCTATGAAATTCAAGGAAGATATCATAAGATAATACAAAATACCCTGGAAAATAAGTACACATTTGGTATAGTTCATCAGACTCATCATGTATGATTTAGACTGCTTTCTTTATGATTTAAATTACCACACCAGAGCCTTTTGTTTCTAACTGAGAGAAAACCATTACTCATGTTGAAGTGGCCTCTGTAAAGAATATGACTTCTTAAAAATACTTACAAATTTTGAGCACAAACTGTTGAACTACTTCAATGCATTTTAGATGAAACTAACCTTTTTTTCAATTATCCTGTGAAAAAAGTTGACAGTTATCTTGTTCAAAATTGCAAATTAAATGGATCGAAATCTGACACCATGAACTTACACAGTTCGTGAAATTTTTACATGTGCAAATACCGCTGACGTATTTTACCTGAACAGGCTTTCTATTAATATGTATTTTCAAACGTTTACTGCAAGTAAGAAAAACCTAAACATACCTTACTGTGAGGATCAGCAAACATTCTTGTGAAGATTTCACACAACCTTTTCAACTCAACACGACTGTCAAAGTGACAACAATACATTAGTCAACTCCCCTGCTAGTACTACCGAACACTAATGCATAGCAATCTGTGAAATCAACTGTAAACACTGAGTCAAATAATCTAGTAAATGGAGTAGAAAAACGCATTTTGTTTAAGACATGGATAAAAATGCAATGGATTTTGTTTAAAATGAGACTTTCAACCTAAAATGTCTCTTTAAACTAATTCATACATTAAACCATTCCTGACTATGTTAACAGAGCAGATAACAAAAAAGGTATTCTTTGTAGCTAGTAGTAAACAGTTTCTTCTCAATAAACAGCCAATAAATAAAAATACCACAACTAATAATAAATAAATTATAAGATAAATAAATAAATATAAAGGCCTTCCATCAATACTAGATGCACTTTAGGAATCTTTTGTATTGCAAGAATTCTCTTGATTTTAAATTCAATTTCTTAAACTGAGCTTTTTAAACAGCTCCTATACACTGGTTGCCAGAAGTGACAACGGCTTCCTCATTCTTTCCACCTTCTCGATCTCACAGGCACACACCCTGCTTTCCCTCTCCCTCAACCTTCCATATTCTTTAGAACATTAGCCTCCTTTCGTACTTCCCTCGCTTCACTTCAACTCTGAAATAAAATGTTTTTCTGTAAACATGTCTTCGTACCTTAAAGTTCTCTGATTCTTTAATAAGTTTTGCAGGCCTAGAAGGCCTTCTTTTCTCTCTGACCAGTTGGAGCTGGCACAGCGATTTAGGACTTCAGCCACATCTTCTGTCTGTCTCATATACGTTGGTATGCTTCCATTCCGAGAGCTGTAGGATCTCTCTGAACAGGCACTTGACGCATCACTGTTGGCATCATCATCCGAGTACATCCCATAAGACTCGTATCTCCTTCGCACGGGCTTCTTCTATTGTACAGAAACACCCCACGTTAGTTCTGATTTTCAAAGAGATACTATACGTATCCATAATCAGTAGAAAGACCAACAGTTCAAATAACCAGCGTGACCCCTACTCCCTGCAGTGACAAATGGCTCCAACTGTTCAACAGGTCAAACTGAGCTAATAAAAATATTTTGAAGTATGGTTTGCATAGTATTCCAAATATAAAAGCAAAGCAAATGCAGAGAAGACATACGTTTGATGAAATACTCGACTTAAAGTTTACTTGTAAAAATCCATAAAATTGCATTATAGGGTAACATAAAGATTGTATTGAAAGTTAGTTATTTCACTTAATAACTTTATATGTTACAGATATAAGAATCAAGTCTAAATCCACATATTCTGTCATTTTAACTTACTTTGTATCAAGCATGTTAATAGCAACATATTAAACTATTGAAGAAGGAAAATAGTTTCTATACCTTAGTCCGTATGTCTCCTAAGAGCTGTTAGCAGTAAATTATTGAAAAGAAACAGACATTGAGAACAGGAAGGTAAGGCATAGCAGCATTGTGACTATTAATCTACCTGCCACTGGAAAACATACAGTCTTACTGTAAATTTTGTTCTTAGCTCTCTATATCTGGTGAGCATACCATGCATTGCCAAGAAGTTTCCGTTTCCAGGGAAGTATTACGTATCATCTGCTGATTGGTCACAAAGACTTCCCTGTCAAAATCTTTGTGCCTTTATGCAGTGATATTTGAGTATGAAGACTTAGCACATGCAGTCAATTGCTATCTAAGGACAAAACCTTCATTTAAACTTTATTTTCCCATTAACTTCTCCATCTCTTTCTTTCATTTCAATATCTAAATTTTGTCATGGCAACAATTACTACGGCAGTCAACGTCCTTCAAAAAATTGATTACATAATGCAAAACCCCAAATCCCCTAAAAACAAAAACAAGCAAACAAAACACAACATGCCAAAGGCCAGAGGAAAGGGGGAAAAAATAATAAAAAAAAAAAGCAGTTATTTATCCTAAAAGGAAAAACACACACCTCTGCAAAATAACTGCCATTCAAATTTTGGAGTTGAAGCTAGTAGTTAAAAATTTGTTTTTGTTAAATACTCAAAGAAGGAGTAGTATAAGTGATTGTTTTCCCCTTAATTACCAGTGCCATTTGCACAGACTTCTCATTTTTGACTGTGGAACAGCTTATAGGATAATGTAATCCAAACTAGTCAATACATCATGTAACAAGTAAGCTTATTGTCAACAGAACAAGCATATATACACACACGTGTAAGAGAACAGAGGAAGGGAAAAATCACAGAGACATGAGCATTTTTGAAAAGGGTCACCATAAGTTAAAAAAAATTTTTTTTTAAAAGAAATATAATCTGAAATGCCAAGGACTTTGCTAAAGTAAAAAGTAGAAAAGCATGTAAAGATCACCATATTGCTGCATTTCATGTGTCTTATATTTAAAACACATTAGCCAGAAGACTAATAGCCCTTTGGCTTGAGCAGCATTGTAACTGGACGAGTATTTTTCACACCATAGAAATAGTTAATACACTCCAGAATATTTTCGATTTTTATATTACATCTGTCAGGACTGTACATTCTACCTTTTACAACACTGTCCTGATGGGGGGGCTTCAGTCTATGGTAAAACAATAAGTGTGTTCATAACCAGATATCCATCTAAATTTAGAGCATGGCAGGCAATCAAGCATGCAAATACTAAAATGTTGCTGTTCTTGATCCTTCTTTGTAATGACAGATTCTAGCTAAAATATACCAACTAATTTTCCTTTAACATTTCTAGAAGCATCATGCTATTTTGGATTTGGGTAATACAAACCAGTTCCTATGAACAAACTTCATTACCTCAACAAAGCAGGACACATTCAAGCCTCAAAAGCAGTCATTGGAAGCATGAGTTTCTCCTCAATTTATATTCTTACTACATACTTTGCCCAGTTAAATTTGAGTAAGCTATGAAGTTGCTAAAACGTACTAAAGGTACTCTTCATGTAGCACTAGTGTAGATAAATCTATAGCACAGACTTTCAAATTATAGCCAGAGACTTTTCATGTTCCACAGACTGTTTTTCTATTGATCCCTACTCCAAAATTCAGATTGACTTCCAGTTTACTAACTAGCATTCCCCATCAATGCTGAAAACCTTTTGCAAGTTTACAACATCAGAAAGGGGAAAACCCACTCAATTTCAGCATGACCTCTTAGTCAAGATTTCACAGATATCCTGATCTCCATGCCAGTGAAGGCAGACAAATTTTAAACTAATGTGCCAAGAAGACAGTATTAATCAAGAAATCAATAAATTGCCAGACTAAGAACATGACAGAGTTCTTCAGACTTTTTCCCTTGAAATTTTGTTTCTGTGTATAATTAAATTTTTTAGCGTTTTAATTTGTAGGTTTTTTACTAGTGTTCCAAATAACATTTTTGTTAAAATAGAGTAATAACAAATTCCTTAAAGCATTCTGATAACTGAATAATATTTAATGATAAGCAAGTAGTACACAACACCTGATAAAAATGTATCTGACTTATAGTGTCAGCATTTTAAATTAATTGAAGATTTCAGCTTGCTGATGTAAATGTCAGAATAGCAAAATGATGACTGTTTGGCTAACTGGGGCAGGGAAGTAGAAGAGCCAAACCCACCCTTTTAAAGAACAGTAAAGGTTAAGAAAGAGAATGGCATAACCATTTTTAAATTCAGAGTAACATTTTCAAAACAAACAAAACAAAAACTAAACTTATGAAATGCTGCCTGCCAAGCCATCAGTCCATCTCTTCAGCGTCAACCTCACATGTTGTCAGACAGAACAACTTTAAATGGAACCCAGGCTCATGATAAGCAGAGTGCTTTAGCTGTCATCATTCCCAGCTCTGGCAAGCCTTCAACCTATCCAGAGGTTTGTCTAGCTGTTGTGGGAAACTGCTGGTTAGTGCTACCTGCTCAAGTGGCTCCTTGGGCCACTCCAACACAACAGTCCGAGACTATTTCCTGTCTGCCATGGAAAAATGTACGTTTCTCAAAATTTAAGACTTCTGTAGGGAACAAAAATTTCAATACTTTGCAGCTCTAGCAATTCAGTTTCTCTTTTTTTCCCCCACCTAGAAGCCAATAAAACGATGAATGACAGGTTCTTTTGCATACTTTAATGTATAGGTACCAAACACTGTCTGTGTCCTACACAAGGTAAGTGCGAGATTCTTACCAAAGCATCTGCTACTGCCTCTTCCACGTCAGAACCTGTGTTCAGAACTCGCATAGCACTAACTGATGATGACAATCTACTTGACTGACTAATTCCAAAGCCGGTACCTGTTATAACAAGAAAAATTAATATAAAGAATTCAGTCAGAATAGCAACGTGGGAGATGAATATCACAGTCACTTAAAAAAAACCCAAGCAGAAGAAAAGCATTTGCTTAACATTCCTAAAAAATTATGTAGTGGCTAAAATACTGGTTATTTTCATTGTGAAGTCCTTACTGGTGCAGCGAAAAGTAAGAAATGAAGAAAAAACCCAGAGTCATATACAAACATTCTATTCCAATATCACAGCGAAAAACACCCCACAAAATGCTCTTAACGGAAAGAACATTTTTTTTTTTTTTTTAAATTAATGTCTTCTTCATTTTGGGTTTTTGTTTTCATTTAAAAAGAAACCAAACACAATAGGAAGGCTATTGAGAATGCTGATTAGAAAACTACATGCAGAAAGAATGCTCTACAAATACTGAAAAACAGTAAACTAAAAAAAGTTCTTCTGCAAGTAAAAATAAAATGATTGTTGTTAAGGAAGAAAAGGATTAACACTGAAGGGTGGGGGTGGAGACGAAATCTAGCAACATAAACACATCTATCTGGATTATTAAAACCACAAAACTGAATATAAATAATGCTTTTTAAAACTATGAGAATAACCAAGTGGGTGGGGAAAAAAAATATCCAAGATGACTGCACAGATGACAGCAAAGTGTACTCATCCTTCACCTGTAGCCCCATAAACATCAGGAGTGTAGAGGGCACCAGTGGATCTGGAGTGATGTCTGGAAGCTGCAATAATAGGATCATATAAACCCTATCTATTACCATAGAATGAAAGTGCTGCAATAGTTGCTTAGATGAACAACAGAATGTTTATCAACAAGATTCAACTTTAGCACAAGAAACTAAGTATTACAAAGAAGGCAAAAGCTTCAGGGAAGGTCTTTGATTGTATAGAATATGATTATAAAGAATTATATAGGTTTATATACACTGGGCATTTCATGCATTTTTTTTTTTAATTTAAAAGATTAAGAGCAGATCAAAAGCAGGTATGTTTAAGTTCAAAGAAAAAATGCGTAGACACACATGCGCACGCACACACACACAAACAGAATCCTCAGAAATATCTAAAAAGTTGCACTGATACAGGCCTTCCATTGTAGAGTTAACTCAATTCTACGTGCTGAAGTCAGAGCCAGAACTCACGTACCAAACATTATCTGCAAAAAGTGACTCCAGCACTGTGTGGGCAGCTGACAATCTGTATAAACTTGAGTTCTTGCCTATGTGCAGGTAAGTTAACCTCAGCTAAAACTCATTACTATGTAGATGAAAGTTAAAATTATTAAATTTCAATCAAAAGTTTAAAATAATTTAATGCAATTAACAGTTCAAATATGTATTGTTTTCTTTAAATAAATAAAAAAAATGTGAAATTGAAACATTTATGTTAGTTACTATAGCTTATTACGACTCTTTAAAGCTATGGAAACTGAGAACCAAAGATCCTTAAGGACTTTTGAATAAAACTGAGTACCTTCCTTCTGGCACTTGCATAAAACTGGTCTTCTACAGACTCTAAAGAAGTTACCTCACCATTGCTAATATTTTATTTCTGTAACCAAGTAAGTTTAAATTTTAAACAATTCACCTTCTTTCTTCAGTTCACTTAAGTTAGAATTTTACAGCCAGGTATGATTTAATAAATAACTGTAAATACAAATATTTCACACCTTTTGGATAGATGAATAAATAGAAACCAGGAATCAAATGAATCATCCTTTACTCTGATTAATACAGACAATTTAAGAGTCTGATTTGAATCAAATAGCCCTGACAGGGACCAAATCACATTTGGGGAAGCATACCTCTTTTAACCTGAGTGAACTCCAAAATAATCCTAAATCCTGTAAAGGTCCCGGAAACAACATTGTGGTTTTGCCACTAAGTTCTCTACTCCTTACATAATGCACATCAATGTATTTTATTTCAAACTAAACCTGTATGAAGTTGTTTACCTAGGGAATTTTATTTTGCAAATAATGCTTTGTGGAATACTTGTTTTTTCAGAAATTATGTCTCAGCATGGAAAAAGAGACAGGACAGAGGATGTCAAAACATAGGTATCAAGGCTGATAGAGCTTTAAATACAAGCAATAATGGGATAAACCTTTCTATTTCTTTCCATCAACAAGTCCTGAAAATTAAAGGTACAATTAAAAAATCAAACTTTAGGCATACAATTGAAGATGATCCTGTCCCCATATACATTTGAAATATCCTGGACAAGTTTTTTTTAAGACAGTGAAAGGAAACACTATGTTGGATCAAACATATCAAAGCATATTTTCAAGAATATTCTTTGTACCTCTCAAATTGCAGAAACTGTGCAAGGATTTACTTTTGTAGTTTTGTTTTTTTTAAAGATTAATCAAAATAAGACTTTAAATGGACTCAAAATAATATAATTTCTTAGCTACAATATGGAAATTATACTAGTCTGATATTTAACATTAACTACAACAGAAAAATAGGCACTTCCACATAAATTACAAATCACTTGCTTCTCAGAGTGGCTGCTATCTCCCAGTTTACAATCTTATGCTGAGATGTGAGATTACATAAACACTTCACACCAATGTATACAGAGAAGCAATTACGTAGTATCTGGCTCATTTTACGCCCCAAAAGGCTTAGTATTCGTAAGCAAAAATTTCAGTGCTGAGAATCAGACGCAATAGAAATTACATTCCTCCTTCCAATCCCACGTAAAACTGTCTCTAGCTACAAACACAGAGCTGAATTTGTTTTATTTCATCTTCCACTTGTACCCTTGAAAAACATTAAAGTCATTGTTTTTGATAGAAGTTAATAGCATCCCATAAGACAAAACTGGTCCAAGAAAACACTGGATGACATTTGAAATCATTCAAAGAAGTCATACTAGAAGGAATCCTCAGAATCCTCATTTATTCCAAGTATAGTTGCCTTTTGTTTTTTTAAAAACGACACTGGATTCCTTCCCATGCACGCTACTTTGCATTCTCTGTGCTATCACACAATTCAACCTATTGTATATTTATAGGTACTGTTTTGGATATCTGAATACAAAAACTAAACTCCATCAATAAAAACAAAACCTCAAGTAGCATCCGTCCCAATGACCCATCTTATGGTATTCGTTTAATACACATTTCTTAAGATAACAAGCATTTGACCACATGTAAAATGTAAATCAGATCTCATATGCATGCAACTGAAGTCAAGTCATAAGGCAGCAAAAGCAGCACAAAAAGATCTGGAAAATACCCTCATTTTCAAAAGAAAAGAAGTGTGTGTACTACAACACAGTCTGCCAGCTGTGTTTTACTAAAAGATACAAGTTTACTAACAGATCCTGCATAATGTCTACTTTTAATTTAATTTCCCAATTAAATAGCAACTGGGCAAATTAGCATTAGTTATTGAAACAGCTTTCATTCAATTAATCTGTACTTTCCCAATAAAACCATGGCTGACAGGAAGCATACTGCCTTAACAGACCACAATAGGCTTCCAATGCTAATTAGTACAGTTGGGTGCCTCAGTTTGAGATAGAAACCAGAGATTTACTATTTTCAGACTATGTTTAATAGCTAGTATTACAAAGTCCTTAAATGAAAGCTACACTTGAACAAAGAAAACAAGAAGGATACATATTGAAGACTAACTCAGACAAAGATTAACACTAAAAAAGATCAGTTTTAGATATAATCTTAAAGAGGCAGTTTTGTATTACCAAAAAAATCAAAAAAAAAAAACCTAAACAACCCAATATGTAAAAAGAGTTCTATCAACTACCACCATCACAGTAACCCTGACAAGGATACATGGAGATGAAAAGTGTCCCTAGTCCTTAACCAAGAGTATGTTAATTATAAGCTAATATTCCTACGCCTTGTTGACATTTCGGAAAGATACAACAGTTTGACAATCTTGCAAAATCTCTTAAGCATCAGGCCAATGAGCTGAAATATTAAGTGAAACCAAAACTTTTGCTTATAGCAGCTCTAGAAATGAGGACTGAATGTAGCTATGTATGTGTGAAAGTTTTCAGTTCCTCTTCTTCCCTCTGTAACAAGAGCTGCTACTTCAATTATTTATTACTTGTTCTACACAGATAAAAAGTAAACTTCAGAACAGTACTTTGGTCATCTACTTGTATAAAGACTTCACTACTTGCCCTGTTCATTTCTAGAAAATGGAAAGCAGCCTCAAAATACAGTTCTGCTTCAGTAGATTGGTCCCTTATCTACACCATTATATTTACTTACTTTAATAGCAAAAAGTTAAAATTTTTATTATTTTTTGACACAATACAGTGATGACAATACAACTAAGGAGACAAAGAATGAAGTGTATTTTCTTCTTATACACTGAAATGATTCCTTGACTAGGGAGCAATTTTGAATAATAGCAGACCCTAGCTGTTAGTGCAGAGAAAGGCAGGGGATGACAGCCACACTACAGTCTTTGCTCTAGTTGGTCAGTGAGAAATGGATTATCTAGCTGCACCCAAGCAACGAGTGCTGTAATTAAAAGAGAAATACATTAATTAAAAAAACCCAACCAACCAAACAAAAACCCCAAAAAACTTTCCAAAAGCAGAATTGCCCTTTCAAAAAACGGATCTAGACACTGATTATCACGCACCTTTCCAGACTTGGTATTTAAGATAAGACTAACACTAGCAAAGCGTTTATTTTTCAAGTGTGCAACCCATTCACGCATTGGTCAATTCTTCATCGAATTAAGTGGTGAGTGAGCCAAAGGAAGGGAAAATCATGGTGGCTGGCTACAAGCTAAATGAAGGAGGCACGGATTCGTTAGGTGCAAATAATGAAGGGCAAAGACAGCCATGCAAAACAAGGGGCTCCGAGTACTTACCAAGGGGTGGAAAAGAGCGGACAGGGCTTGTGTCCCTGCTACTTTCACGGCTGGCCTCCCGACTGCACCCCTGACTCACACTAGGCCGAGGAATGCGGCTGCCTCGTGCTAGTATGATTCAGGGTACAGACAAACAGCAGCACAGAAGGGAGAAGACATAAGAAAAGTTGCAGTTTTAATGCAATTCTGTTTTGCAGTAAGATCAAAGACGTATTTCTAAGAAAAGACACTGACGATCATGTTGTATTATAAGTGACAACTGTTTCCATGCACTCTCTTGATTGTGCTGGATTACAGTAAGTGTAGCCAGTTCAATGAAATTATTTCTTTGCACAGCTAAAAATGGGGATTTACTAACTCTTTACAGAATGGTTGAAAAGCCTCTTGAAAAGGATGGGGAGGAAACAAGTAACAAAAAATATGAACAGGGTATTGATTCAGAACTGCTCAAGATCAAGTTAATCAACAGTAACGCAAATAAAACAACCCCACAGCTTTCTAAAGAAGGAAAATATAAAGTTAATACAGCTAAGATAAAAATCAAAATACAAAATGAAGAACAGCAGCAATGACATTAAAAACAACTGATATTTTTTAATAATACTGTTTGTAATAAAGTGTAATCAGGTTATACCGTGAGGTTTAAGCAGTATGACATTCATTTTTGTATCATAGAAGCATACACATGCACACACAATTATGGAAAAGACACACAAAAGTAATGAAGAAATTAATCTTTTCAAAATAGTATCACCCCTTCATTCAATAGATGGGGGTATTTTGGGGGTGGGGATAAGAAATGAAGAAAAGTGAAAGACAGAAGGAAGACAGAGAGGTGAGGAAAAGAACAACTACTGCATTCTGACAGTGAAAAATTAGTTTCAGCTTAAATTTAAAACTGTCATGTATATCAAAGACCAGCCTCAGAAAACAGGCATGTTTCCAATTTTTATCAATATGTATTCTAATTTTATCATCCACCTATAACTAAACACAAGCTGTGGATCTCCAGCACTTAAAGTAAGAAGGGCTATAAAGAAACCAAGTGTTATTCAGTGATTCTTACCTACTGACAATCTAGAAGGACTAGCTTCTCTACTGCATCCCTGACTTCGTGGTATTTTGCTTCGTTTTTGTGCAGTTGCAGGATTCACTAACACTCTCTGAACTCCTGTGTTCACAGTGGACAGTGTGGTGGTTGTCAAAACTCTTCCGGGAGACCCAGACCTACTGCCAGCTGAAGGTAAAAGGAATAAATATAAGTAACAGCACAGAAGATAAAACAACCATGGTTAAAAAGAAAAAAAATGCTTCAAGTTAGTAGGAAAGTGGTGGTAGATTGAAATGGTCTGGAAAAACTTACAAGGTAAAAAATGTGAAATAGAAACCTCTGGTCCAAGTTCTTACAGCACTACATACAAATAGATAAAATTATCAATGCAAAGAAGCACTTGGCATGATATTTAGCACTAGATATGCTCAAAAAACCATAAATAACATATCTAGTCCTCAACAACAACTCCAATGTCCCTAACATTAACATTGGTGTGTTCATTTCTTAAGCTACATGGTCCCACTAATCATATTTTCTATTAAAAAAGAAAGAAAAAAACCTCTTCTCCCTCGCTTTTAAAGCATGGACTCTTCAAGCACCACTCTCTGAGAAGTTAAATAAAGTGTCATTGAAGACAATTAAAATTCTCATGTTCATTTCTGTGGAGGTTACCCCACAAATTTGAAGAAAACTTTCAATTAGTTTTAAACAAACTAAAAAAAAAAATTGATTAAGACATATTTAAGCATCTTATATTTTATTAATCAAAACTGTACATTACAAAGTGCTATAAATGTTCATTTCAAGACACTGTACTCACTACCAGAAACTGGTCACTGATCCCTAATTTCAATATTTCAGTTACAGAAAATTGAAGTTCTAAGCCCTAACAAAGAATCCATTCTTCTCTAGTTATAACCAATTTATACTACCAGTTGATATGTTGTTTCCAGCTGCAGAATTCAAGAAGTCTGACCAAATGAAAAGCAAAACATCATTTTAACCAAAGGTTAATTACATACAGATACAAGCCTTTCATTAATCTTTTAAAAATAATCAGTCATGTATGACCACAGCTATGCTATCAGATCTATAGATTTAGCATGCAACATCTCAAGTGAGTTTCATGGGTTACTTCTTATGAGGCACATTTAAAAAAAAAGATACAATTTGATCAAAGCTTGACTATATGGGAAAAGAAACAAAATCCCCAAAAAATAAAATATATGTTGGGTGGAAGGGAGAAAACTAAAACAATGTACCATGCATATACTTTCAGATTCATTGTTTGAATTCAAACTTGAAATGATTATTTAGCAAAATCCCTTTTCAAACTATGGACCTATTCAGCAGAAATGGTAAATTAAATATACACAGCCTGGAAAAAACAAGCATAACTTCTATAGCAAAAAAAGAATACGCAAATCTATAAAATTGCTGTGGTCTGCAAAAATTAAGGGTTTGGCAGTTTCTTTATATCAGGGCATTTCAACTTAGAGCTGATATTATTATAAGTTTTTTCTAGCCTCCAATATTTTATATCCCTTTAAAACAATTAAAACATTGTAAAAGTTTTCACTGTGCCACAGACTTTTAGAAGATTTTCTTCAATATATCAGAAACCTGAAAACTTACTCTTCTCACAACACTCAAAGAAATGCAGCCTCTCACTCTAGTACTTTATCTTTCTATCGTCTAACCTGCAAAGTGTACCACTATAGCATAAATAAGCCAAATGAAGCTTAATAGCCTGAAAATATTATGCTAATAACATTGTCATCCTGTTGTCAGTACTACCACCAGCAATAGATCCAAGCGAACTGAATGATGAAAGAAGGATAACTGAAACAAGTATTCCAAAATGACAAAACCCTCCCATCTCTACTGCATTCTAAATAAGGATTACATCCAATTAGGTAAGTGCGGCATATGGAAAAAAAGCGAGCCAGAATTTCTGCTGAATAGGGTCCCTAAATGAGGTATGTCGAACAGGTGATCAAACAATGACGTATACACAAATTCTGTAGACTCTTACCACCAATGGGGTTAGCAGACTGTGATCCTGAACAAGTGTAAAGGCAGGATTAGGGTAGGGGTTTATAATCCATGAAGAGGGAGGGAGCAGAGCAGTTTAAAAAATGGATGGCAAATGGAAATAAGAAAGCTTTAGTCATTTCACACAGGAAAAAAAGCCACAAGGGGGTTATGCTAAAGCAGTGCTTTTAAGTAGCTTCCACAGTTGAAGAACTAAACTCAGATGCTATATGTACAAAGCAGATGAAGCAAAGCTGCACAAGCAAATACAATTCTTCAGTTTTCTAATCAACAACTGGATAATACTGAAGAATTAAATTTCAATTAAACATGAAACTGTAGCCTCCATATTACTTTAAAAGAATATTACATTGCCAAGAAGGTTCAAGAAGTTCAACAGCTGAACAAAAATTACACGCAAGGCGAAAACTTTTTTTTTTTTTTTTTTTTTTTTTGAGACAGACAGTAAAGGAACTGAACTGCAGGTGCGGTGGATGACAAAATAAAAAAAACTCACAATGACACAACTGAAAAGACTTGCATAGAATTTCAGGTTTTCCTCTTTAAAATTAATCTGAAGTATAAAAAGTAAGAATTTGTTTCCACTCAGAAATTTAATTCTTTTTCTCTGAATGAAGATTGTAATGTAATTTTATCACACTGTGTTGAATTACCTGACAATCAAACAGGAACGAGAGGAAAAAAATGGAACAATTTTTTTTCCATAGGTAAGAATACAATAACAAGCCATAGATTGTATATGCATTATTTTATGTTACAATTTAAAAATAGAAGAGGAAGAATAAAGGGCTTCTAAAACCCTAAAAAAGTATCTTTTTTAAAAGCATTCAAATTTGCAAGTCTTTCATAAAATGATCTTTGAACAAAAGTGCTAAAGAGTTGTAACCCTAAATTTACAAAAGCATCTGTGTTACAGTGATTTTTAAAAAATAAAAGCTTAAATCTAATATGAAGTTATTTTCCCACTATAAACTGGGGAACTAAAATAATCCCCTGTGTGGAAACATCAAACATCTCGCTCCCTACAGTACTGTGAAAATTTTCAGTCACATAAAAAAGCCTCACGCAAATAGCTGGCATGGAGTGCCTGAAAAATTCTCCTTTGCCTGTCCATTTGTATTTGCCCTGTTTATCTTCCTTAAAACATCTCAGAATTCTTATTCTCCCCCACTGACAGGTTATAATGAGCTATTTGAAGCCATCAGCTCTGAACAGAAGTAGTAATAAAAGGCTGTAAAGATGCATTCATGCATTTAATTTTCACACATCATCACTTGTAGACAAATCTAGTTATTTCAATATCATTCAACTTATATCTTTAGACATTAATACTGTGCAAAAATGAATTCTCTTGGGAAAAAAAAAGTGTCATTATTAGTAAAAAGAAACTGAAAAAGCTTCAATTTGTTTCCCTGAATATACAGTCAGTTTAATTAATATCATATGACAATGATCATCACAAAAGTCTTATATTGCTACCTAAATTTAAGCCCTCCCCAAACAGTTTATCAAACACCTTAACTTTTTTATAATTCACCAAATCTATTAAAAGTACAAAGGTATTTTCAAAAAGCTTATTTCAGAACTTTCCTAATACTAATGAAAACAGAGTTACAGATACTGCTTACAGCTTTTCATAAAGGGAAAAAGTGATTTGACAGGACTGTTACCTCTCCTCCATCTTAAAATATTAATCCACATAGTCTTTGCTTATGATACAGTGTTGTCAACACTGAAAACATAAAACAAGTTTTGCACAACCTTTGTCATAGCCAATAACCTGACTTTATTTTCAAGCTCTCATTCCACAAACACTTGTGGTATTAGAGCACTATCAAAGCCAAAAAAGACTTAAGAGAGCTTCTGTTATTGAATTTTATTATTTTATATTTATCTGTTCAGATATTTTGAAAGTTTTATTTCACAAAATCTAAAAGCATTGGATCAGGTTTGATCCAAGTGGATTGTTGGAAAATGAAGTAATGCAAAACTGAATGGGAAGTACTCTAACAGAAAAAAAACCTCCAAAAGTCTTCTGCTTTGTTTTTAACCTCTAAAGTCATTCTATTCATGACAAATGCAGTCACTGCTATGAAGATAAATGCTTCTGCCATCAAACACAGAATTAAGGGTTTTTATTAAAAGAAAGTGGATATGGTTACTGATAGCAACATAATTGTCCTGGAAAATTCAAAACCTGTATAATTTACTGGGTTTATACCATCAGACCTGACAAGCTATAGGACTGGTTAGTTTATTTTAATTATATTGTTAATTGGTCTTCCTTTCATTAATTTAATTGCATTTCACTTAATTAGACAAAGATGAGAATCTGAAAACACTACAGAGCTTAGTCTGCTGGAGACCTCAGATGTGTGAACAAATTGCTATGGGTCAACCAGTGCCAAAGAACGTGAGGTAATCAGGTCTTTTTAATTAATGACAGACTGCTCAGCTAGATCAGAAATTTTGCACTGGTTTCTAAACACACAAAGAAAATTACTGTGGTTTAGCTAACATACAGTAAATTGTTTGGTTTAACTCTTTGATTCAACAGAAGCTAAGTAACTGATTATAAATTTAGGATTTAGTGGTTTTATTCCAAAGAAGAGTTAAGTACAGGTAACAGCTGTAAATACAAAAAAAGAAATATATAACCAAGAGCTAGAGTAGTGCCTAGAGCTTAAAATGGAAAATAGATATTTCTGGCTGGAAAATAAGAACTTCTTGAAAAAATGAAAAATTTGGCTTTGGAGGTAACACCAAGGACACCATTCAGCCTACCCATTCTTCCATATTGCTCGTCCATGTGTCTCATGTAACTGACACAGAACTTTACTGGTTTGTGTTGGGGAGGTCAGAAAGGGGGGGAAAAGAATATTGAGAAGTTATAATTGAAGACAGAATTTAAGGATAGATTTAATTTCCTGTTACGTCATCTAATTTAATTGGTAAACTAAGACCTAACCTAGTATTTTGTCCAGAGAAAAACAACATGAATTCAAAAAGCATGCAAATACCACTGACCCAAAACACTGAAAAAAATACCTTCATTTTTGTCTGGCGATGATGAACCTAAGGCACAGAACAACAACTCAGTATGTAGCTTTTTTTTAAAATTAACTTTGACTGTAGCCATTGGTCAACGCATATATGCTTAAGCATTTGGCCTCTTTATCAGGTATAACTGACAAACAGAAAATACATACGCTGAGACTGTGACACCACTTTCGTTCTACTTCGTCCTCTGGAATCTGTTTTAGAATTTCCAATACCAACAGAAGGCGTCGAAAGCTTTGTTCGTACACGACCTATAAGAGAAAAATGGCATTAAATCAGTTTTTCACAGTAGAATGTAGAAAGCAAAGCATCAGTAGCATTTACTAATATTTTCTTAAGTTTCTGTAGATAAAAAAAGAAGCATAGCATAACTCAATTGGTGAAAATTCGCTTGGGATAAATAGTAGAAATTTGAACACCTTGAAGGACTTAATAGTTGAGGAATCAAAATACTTCTCCTCTGATGCTACATGTTTCAGTAAATAATTTACACATTATCGTTTAAACACCCTGAACTAACTAGCTAGTTCTTGCTTCCTAAATAAATAGGTTGTTTATATTTAAAAAGAGAAGTTTATTAAATATAGTAGGCAATGCTAATGTTGCTGTATCAGGTACAGTCTTCTCATGATTACTTGTGGTTGTAATTCTAGTTTTTCTATTGTAAAACTACAAAAAATATGTTGACTTTTTTTAATAGGGTTCTGAGGTTTCTTCCTAATTTCACTCCTCCTTTTAAAAAGCTAAATACAAGCCTTCCTATTACTGGAGATTCTACTGTTTTCCTAGCCACATTCATATAGACTTCTACAGGATGTCCCAAGCCTTTTACAGCATTTTGCAGAGACTAAGTACACTTAAGTACTTCTCACTGACAACATGATAAAAGGAAATACTAATCTCCTCAACAGACAGAAGAGCTGAGGAAAAGACAGATTAAATTGAGTAGCTACAACTAAACCAATAGATTCACTTGCCTCTAGAACGCCAGACCATCTTGGGTTTGGGTTAAACCTTTCTGCATTAGCCATGTTCCTCATAACATTCAGAGTATACAATGAAATTACAAAAGAAAGGAAGACCCTAGTTGGATGAATTATAGGTAACTGAAAGATTATTCATAAAAGAAGTAGAGTTGTGTACTACATTTCCTAAGCCAACCTCTCAAAAAACAGAAAAATGAAACAAAACCCAAAACCATGCTAACCGTAATTCTTACAAGTTGCAAGAACAAAACCCAAAAGACTTGTACAGAGTGGATCTAGTTCAACAAAGTAATCCACTTTTAAAACAGCAAATTAACATATTGTCTAGACATGTAGAGTCAGTATTTGACCCAGAAGAATTAGGTACACAGACTGTTATTTAGTTCTAGTCTCTTTAGGCTTTCCACAGCAGAATTTGGAGACCAACCAAGTTAATATTATTCATCCAAGTAGAGGGAATAGCCATAGATGAGAGTCTATAAGAAGAGAATCAGGATAAAGCAGGTTATTCACTAAACTATTAGAAAACAATACACTAGCAAGAACCGTTAGATTAACTAGTTGAAACTCTACTAGTTATCCCCGTGCAATGGCAATGTTTTCCCACTGAGTGCTGTGAGACTGCAAGGCATGTAACTGCATTCAGAATTTGGCTCAAAAAAATAGGAATACAGAGTGCCACTATTCCGATACTCTGTTAAATTATTGCTTGGAATCTGGTTCAATTTTACCAAAGTAAAAAAAAAACCAAAAAACAAACAGCTTGTATTTGTGAGGCAAATGAACTGTTAACTCACTTGGAGTCTCTACATCCATTCACTAATGACAGCTTTAAATGTTAATAGCATATTGAAAATGAATTCCCAAGTCTCAAAGAGATGAGTAATAGTAGCACCTGCTTCCCAGAGCATGAACACATTTGATGAAATATTCTGTGACAAGATTTGCTTGAAAAAACAAATGCAAAATTATAAAGCTCCTATATTTTCACACTGAAAATGTTAAGCAATGATACTTCTACTGCAGATGAGTACTTGAGAATTAAAATAAATGCAAAAAAATTTTAAAAATACTACATGACAACCAAGTATTAGATGCATAAGCTATCTGGAGTTATGAACCTCCACAAAGCCCCAGAAAGACCACATTCTACTTTCAAAGCTTAATTTGTATCAATGAAAATATGAAGCTGAAAATATTAGCTATTCTAACAAAATATTTTCTTACCATCTTCAGAAGCTGTTCCTAAACAGAAAAAATAATAAAATACATGATATTCCAAACAATACTATGTGTCTCCAATTCCTTTTTGAGATTAATCTTATGAATCTTGACAAATTTTATCAAGAGGTCTAAAGCTTTTGCGTTGCAACTCCATAATTGAACTGAAGTTATCCAGAAACATCCATGCTATACTGTTAGCAATTTACAAGAACACAATATATAGCACTGCCTTTCAAACTTGTTACAAAAACCACCAAAAAATCAATAGAAAAATTAAATCTATAAGATAAGTCAACAAAATGACATGTACGGATCAAAACAGACATAAAAAATACTTTAGTGCAAGCTCTTCTGAAAATATAAAACATGTTATTATAAATTATCTCAGAGAAAAACACAAGGACAGTGTTTCCCACACTGGACAGTGATAATTTGATAGGAACTGCCAGCAAAGAGGATTTCTCAGAATTTAATCCATGATTACTCTGAAGATCTACATGCATACGATCAAGTTTTGCTCAGATAAGCAGAAGTAATGCGAGCTTGCTGAAACCAGATCACGATTGAACAAGTATGCCAAGCTTAACCAGGCTTGATTATGACAAAATGAGTTGGATAAATCTTTTTACTGACATCAGTACCTAGGAATTGATGGGAAGCTATCTAAACAGCAGTCCTTCCTCTCTCTAAATTCATTTGAAAAAAAATCTGATTATGGAATAAAATACATATTAGTAGTAAAAAAAAAAAATAATGTTAAATGCCTCAAAAAAAGTCCAAGGGTATTTCCACTTTTGTTTTCTCTCTGCCATTGTTGCCTTGTAAGAGAACTACAATGATTAAAACATCTGTTAGTTTCTTTGGCTAGTCTGAACTTAAGTTTCTCAGCAAATCTGGCTATGGCTTTCTCATATTATACTATCTTCAAGGCTCTATTTTTAAAAACTACCCCCCCAAATCCAACATTCTTCCAGAGCTGGATCTTGGAAGGCAGGTTCTATGCAACACCTAAGTTAGGCTAACAGCTAGCTGCTCCTAAAAGGGGTGGTTCATGCTTCTCCTTCCTCTCTCCACCCTTCTGCTACCACCTGGTTTGGATGGCTAAAGGCTCATTGTCAGCTCTAAAAGAGTAACAGAGTAACAGAGTATTAGTCACTTTTGTTTTATGAAATCAGTTTTCTGGAGTTTGTTCACCTACAGTGATTGATAATGGAGCATTACAAGGCACTAGTGAAAGAAGTGGTAAAAACATGTGGCCAAGATTAGTGGGAAAAGGAAAAATGATTAGTTCCTCCTGGTGGTGGTTAGATCAGAGCAGCTATATCATACAACTACAGCTAGAAACCTAAGCTGCATTCATTCTGTCTCACACATCATCCCTACAGATATCTTCTAGGAAAAAACTCTCTTATTCTGATCAATTGGGTAGCACTTCCCCTACTATTTTTAAACAGATGTGTGGGACGCCATTAGTTGTGACTACTGATCTGAACAAAAGAAAAAACCTGCACCATGGCCCTAAGAACCCTTATTGCTGGTGACAACATGCAAAAGCTCAAGATTAAGTGTTCAGCACAGATAGTTATAAATAAATCCTATTATATGCAACATAAGGAAAACTGATATGGAAATAAGTGAGACAGACACTACTACCCTGTACTACCCACCACAAACCCCCTGATTTTATTAAAATAGATTTGCCATCTGTAATACTCAAAAATGGCTCAGATACTTCCAAAAAGTATCTCTCATGAAACTGATTATCTGTGCTTTGAAATGATTCAAGATTCTGGGCTTTAGAGATCTATCTTCTTACTGTTTTCATTTCTATTAAAAATATCACCTGCTTTGCTTCCAGTGAACTACTCATTCTTCAAAACATGTGCTGTTAATAAACCCATGTGACAAGAATTATTAAGTAAGTAGCAAACATAACGGACTTCAGTGTTCCCCAGCAATAAATTAGAACTAGAATTATCAGGCATCGAGCTGGGACTCTGTCACTTTATTATATGGGAAATATTACTTACACACATCTGAAACAGACAATTGCTATGAGAAGTCTGATTCTCAACTGCTTTGCAGTTAGGATAAAAATATATGACAACTCCCTCCATGTGTGTAATACAGTGAATTAAGAAAGAGTAAGCACTAAAGCTTAGCTGGAATACTTGGTAAGCTATTTTACCAGGCAGGTTGTCTTAACAAACTATTCTTTACTAGAATTACATTGTAGTACAGGATTTACAGGCACTTCAAGTTAGGTAGCTAGACTAGATCTTGATAGAGTACTTTTGGAAGAAAAGATTTTAGGTTTTTGTTATTGTGTGGTTTTTTGGGTTGGGGTTTTTTTTTAATAATTGGTCAAGCATCTTCTGCTCTCCCACTGCTGTTCTGCCAAGAAGTCAAAAAGTTTGACTTTATAGGTAAAACTATGAAACACAATGGAACTAGAGCTAGTTAAAAGAAGTATGTATTGCTCAGAAAAGTGCTCTGTAATTAATATTTTTTTGAAAAAATCAGGAGTAACATTCAATGTCAGATAAAGTTTCTGTTGCTGATACAGACCAATCATCAAAAACATTGACAAATACAGCAATAACACAACACATATTAAGACATCAAGATTACAGAGGTTAATTAAAACAGAATAGTATTTTGTTAATGAACAGACAAATATATTAAACATCAATAATTTTACATAAAAGATACTTTATTAAATATTTAATAGAATTAGAGGACAGACTAAACAATTTCTTACCATCCATCTTGTCAGAAGTATCCTCTTTGTTGAAAAAGCAGGCAAAGAAACATGGAAAACTTAGTGTGTTAGAATAAAGGTGTTCACAGCAGAGTCATAAAACATTAATTAAGGAAAATACATTAATATTAAATACAGCAGACATGTTTATCTAATTCATGCACGTATAATCTACCTTAAGTAAAGCTGGTTTCTCTCAATCCAAGGTACAAAATTACAGAACAAGGTACAAGTACCCCGCAGAGGGATGTTGAATAAACCCTCTCCGTATTACCCAGATTTGAGCAAACCCTTACAGTAAAATATTTATAAACTGTTTCATGCTTGGTGTCAACAGCTATTGAAGCATCAGTACATATTTACATCATTACTGAACCACAATATTCCTATTTCTTACTAAATTTGGTACTGAGCATGAAGCCCCACCTGGGGTAAGGGACAGGAGGGAAAAAGACATCACAATAAAGACAAAGGACAAATGGGAGAAAGTTCCACTCTGGTTTAAAAGCATTAAAGATTTACCAGTTCGGCTGGAAGGTAGTGCATACATATTCTGACAGTAACAATCAGAATTAAAATATTTAGTGTTAGACACGTAATTACAGCTCAAGTCTCCTCAAAAAGGACATTAATACTTAAGGATGTCAAGGACAGTCAGCATTTAGAATAACTAGAGAATGTCCTCATGCTTCTAGAACAGTCTTTGAAAAAAATCCAAACAAACATAAATAAGCAAGCAAGAGTTCTTCTATTAATAAAAAAGGAAGAGAGAGGTAGAGACAATTATAGATTACTATGTTCATGAACTTGTGGTCCTCTGAGGCTCTAAATTTGGCAGCTGTTTAAGCAAAAGGTGGATGTTTCTCTATAAGTAAGGGTGAAAATGAAAATAAATTCAAGCTCCAGAGGAGACATTATTATTTATTTTGGTATTGACTGCAACATCTGAGAAGACGTGGTAAGCATTTTGGAAATACAGTAAGATTTTCTAGGCATTTTAGTACTGTGGACAGCATTATTTTGCCAATTCTGTCATTTAAGTTGCCACATTTGGATTTAAACAACCCCCTTAAAATGAACAGAGGGGAGAAGTTTACTAATTAGCCCATTTTCTGAAACACAGCACTTGCTTGGACCCACGCTCCATTAATTTTAAGGTTATCTTTCAAAAACTAAGAGTAAACAATATTTTGAGGTGGATTCCATGGTTTATCCATAGCCAAACACACAACAGTCACACTCTGTACATAAGAGGGGACAGGTATGTGCCATTTAAATTACCTGACCACTGTTAGGAGAATGAGCCAAGATCAATTGAGCAGTCCTGCTTTTGTGTGACTGTAAACAAACCTTTGTCTCCTTGACTATCACTGCCCTTATACCATCTGTAATAATATTTGACTTTACTATACACTGCTAGTATCAGATTATTTTGCCATATCAAACCACTGTTGCATTCTTCTCCACAAGAGACTGCATCTGCTAGTAAGGCAAAGCTTTCCAGCTACTCAAATCCTTCAAAGGAATATGACCTGGACTTAATGCCTATTTGCTCCTCTCCTCCACTCACCAAATCTATAAACTACAAAGAGAATAAGCCATTTCTTTATTCCTGTTATTTTTCTGCATAAAACCACCACTATTTACTTCCCTGAAAACCTCTGTGCCGTTCTCAAGCCTTGCTTACAAAATTCTGGGCATGAATCACCTACTGCTTAAAATGTTCTGAAAGCAAACCAACACTCCAATCAAGAACTAATTTTCTGTGCAACTCTTAAGACCAAAGTAGTCTCTTCATTTCAGCAGCATGAAAAAGACAGATTAACAGAGATATTTCTCTCTCTGCTTTCCATTTGACTTTTTTTTTCCTTCTATCATCATGCTCTGTGTTACTTTTACCTCTCACAATAGCTGAACTCCAGCTTTCTCTGAGATTCACAGTATGTCCTGTCATACACCAAAACGGACCAGACTATATTGTCTCTGATACTGGAGAATAATCATCCCACCTATTTCAGGCTTTTAGGCATTAAGTTAGGAGCAACTGAGAATTCATTGAGCCATAACCATAAGCGTATCTCCTCCATCAAGCAAACTCAGCAGCCTAACTTTGGTGTCCACCTGCCACCAGGCATGTTCTCTGATTCCCCCGCTGTGTGCACCAAGAGGGAGCCCACACCCAAAGTTACTATTTCAAGTAGCAAGTATTCCTTTTAGTCAGCAGTGCTCACGCTCATAAACTTAATCCTAAAATCAATGGTGTTCAAACCATTTCAAGTTGGCCCTGATGACAAAAGAATTAACTAATTTTAAATAGCTTTTAACTTAAATTTTCTTTTTAAAAAGCACAATGAAAAACTTTAAAAATGATAGCCTACATGTATCCTAATATCTCCCCAAACACAAGGTAAATCAGAAGGATGATATAGTTTCTCTGCCTCTCTTGTGATCATCTTCAGCAATAGTGACATTAGGATATGCCTCCTTAGTGCTCTAGCTGGCACACAAGCCAAGAATAAAAAAAAACCTAACAGTTTTGTGACCAGTGAACCTGACTTCTCCCACTGCTACCCCTACAGTATGGATAACCTAAAAATAACAAAACTATATCCATATTCCTTTACCCTCCCCACTTAGGTGGAGGTTCTAGCAGCTACCACCACCACCACCACCACATACTCTTATTTGTAGCACTTTCTATGTCTAACAGCAAGTATTCCTATCAATGAAGACTGTCACCTAGACAAAAACATACACATAGTTCCATCAACGTGCTTAGAAAGAAATCTGTGAAATCAATGTTGTATGTTATTGTGCAAAACACTTCTGTATTACGTGAAGAAGTCATCACTTACTGCCAGGATGTTTCTTTAGCATTGTTGTAAAATAGACAGCTAAAAAAAAAAGCTGAGAAAAATGGAAAATCAAGAGTCCTAACAGTCATTTCCCTATTACTTCTAGAAACAAAAAAGCCATGATCACCATCTGCTGTTAAGTGAAGGTACCACTCCTTCCGATACTTAATTCCAGATTAACACATTTAAAGAACACAGTATGGATACATTCTTTTCATTGGCGATCTTCCAGCACAAGAAAAATAAAACCTCTAGTAAAGTTGGTAACTTACTTCAGAACATCTGCTCTTTTGCAATACTCTAATACTACTAAAACCAATAACAATTTTTTAAATGTAGAAATATTTTCCTGTAACTTTTTGATCAAAAACTTCCAAAAATATTTCACAGTATTGTAAAGATGTTTCCTTTACCTAGCGAAGCATAAGATCCTGGAGGTAGACCAGCTGCTGACAAGCGCCCAGCTCCAGCTGTCTGTCCAGCAGCATGGCGGGCCTTTGCACCTGCGGCAGCATTAACATCAATGTCACTGCGAGACCTTTGCAGAGTTCCCGGGCTTGGAACACTCTTGCTGCTGCCTGAAACTAGGAAAAAAAAAGAGAAAAAGAAAAAAGGAAATTAGTTGGTAATGAATAAAATTAGTTATATTTAAAAGGTCAACATTTTCTACTACTGCAGCTTACCTACAAAAAGTACAGGAAACAATGTAAAATACTGTAAGTCAATATTAACAAAGTATTATTGAGGTTAAGAAGTAAACTAGACCTGGTGTTGCCATGAAATTCAGATAAAGAATAGTTTATTTTACGGTAGTATTTATCTTCATTCAGCATGAAATTTTACCATTATTCAATACAAACTATGTGCTTCCACCCTAGTAGACATTACATAATTCTGAACCTTGACGTGATTATTGAATGATTCACAAACATAAGCAAATCCACATCATCCCTTGTGATACTGAGGGAAGATAATATTCCCACACTTCAGCTACAATAAAGCCACAGGCAAGCTGAATGCATACCTGGAATTGCTTTAGGGTCTAATCTTCTGTAAAGTATTTTCATATTCACTTCCTATTATTTACTGAATATTAACTATTCACTTCAGTTATTTTTAACCACTGATTTAGGTCTTCAAAACTTGACTTATTAACAGTTTCAATATCCAGAAAATAAGCACTCTCAAGTACTGGCCATTTGTAAAAAAGGAGTTCAACAATTTACTCCTCAAGAGTTAAAAACACATTAGGTGAAAAGAGAAAGAAGGTACTAAATTCTGAAAACTCAAGACAAAATTAAACTCTTTGAATTACAAATCTGTGGTTTTGGTTTTTTGGTTTTCATAAAGAACAGCAGCTACATGGGAATAGATGAAAGGTATGAGTCCTTCATTTCCAATTGCCATAAGCCTAATAATAATAATGAATAGACCACAGAATAACATTTTGCTTCTTTGAGAGCAACTGTTCCATGACAAAACTGAAAATACATAAAACGTGAAGCATGTATGAGGCAATCTTAGCTCCAGGTGCAGTCTGTAGTGACACATACCATTATTCAACTTGGAAAAAGAGTAAAAGCTTAAGACAGTAAGATTTTATCGTGCACTGCACTATATAGCAATCACCTTACCTCTGCCTGTAAGGCTTGCTGGACTGGCTGCAGACCATTTAGAAGATAGAGGCCGACTGGGGGGGGAAAAAAAAAAGTCAATAAACCAACTAACTCAGTCTAGGGTATCAGATCCAAAAGGCAACAATAACAGAGAAGCAAAAATAAATCTTCTGTTCTTTTCTCCCCTTCAACTTTCTCAGCATATTTTAGACAGACACATTAAATACAGAATGATAAGGAAAACACAATCATCTTATCTTTTGTATTTTATAAAATTACATCTTCATCACAAAGCATTGATCCTTTGGTTACCAATAGGCACAGTTTGATAACACAAAGTTCAGGCATTCCAGACTTGGTCACAGAAACATTTAACTGTCAGTACAAGATGTTAACCACTGGGCTGATCTTCTGAATCAGCCGTCAAACAAGAACAGCGGGAGCTACACAAAAAGCTTGATTTATGACAGATATTATGTGGTGTCTGCAGTAACAAGGAAAACAGGTGTCTAACTCATAAGCCCTCCAGTCCTACATCTCCCAAGAATTGAGTTACAAATTAAAAAGAAAAATACTGGAACTTCCAAGCAGCTAGACTGAATTTCCCCTGTTTGAATGTTAGAGACTCTTACAGTTTATAAAAGGAGAAAAATGCCATGGCTTTTCCACTATGCTGTCTCTCCATTTCCCTTTACTCTTACTGCATAAATGAGCAGTTGCCAAAGCAAAAATCCTTCTGTCTACTCAAGTTCAACTGTGAGCCCTTCCTTCTGCCTGGTTCAGAAAGGTAAAATATAGTCAGAGGGACCAGGGAAAAGCAAAAGACTAGTAGCAGAAAACATGATACTTTATTCATTGATTCATACCTAGCCATCTAAATATTTATCTGACTGGGAAGGATTGTATTTGCTGAAATAGTTGACTATTTCATCAATAGTCAAATTACAGCCAGTCTCGAGTCTCAGTTTTAGCAAAAAAAGCAGAAGATATGCATAATACTGTGTATTTATCTGAGTTATTAGCTCAGACACTCAATGATAATACAGAGGTCAGCACTGTTACCTAACAGATCATGTATTTGTAGCTTCTTATGAATAGTACCTGCTTTTCTGACATTGTTAACTAGTATTTTGGAGATATTTTGCTGCAAGTAAGTGGAGGAGGCCTGGACAGAGCTCCTGGGTGCATCCTGACCTTAGGAGCTGCTCTAAACAGAAGGCCCAAACAGCTGCAACTTGCACAATCTATTGTGATTGAAATTTCATTTAAGCATTTCATATAGGTAGGCACAAGTCACCACATTTCTCTCATTCCACCATCCTCTTTAAAAACATTTTTTGATCCATGAACTGTTAGAGCTGTAAGTTCAGAAGGTCAAAAATCATGGGGAATCAGACTTTTAAGAAAACCATACCAATATTTACTAAGTTAGTCTATAGAGGGAGAACTCAGCATCTATATTAGAATCCAGAAATACAATTTTGGGTAATACAAGGAAAACCATATGCATCTAAATGCAAAATTAGTGAAAAATCATTTAAAAATTAATTTCCAACATCATAATCTCTTCTGTTCATCTCTTATTTTACTCCTTCCTTTCTGTGCTGTAGTACTTAGTATATTGCAATGCAGGAAGTATCACTTGAGGATTTAAGAGTATTTTAAGATTCTAATTTCTCTGTAATTTAGTTTTTAACGTTTTATTACTAGTAACTCATTAACAGCACTTTGATTTTCAGACAAGGATTATAGATTAATTTAAACAAGAGTAATTAATCTTTGAATAAACATTTGTTCGTGGAAAATGAAGCACTAGCAATAGCCTACATTACAGACAATTATTTTTTAAAATTTTTTTATAATTACAAGTATCATGTGAAAGATAAGATTTGACACAGAAGAGGGAATCCTGTGATATTTAAGGCAGCTGCCAAAAAAAAAGAAAAAAGAGAAAAAAATTAACTTCCAATATCCTGGAAGCAGTCTTTGCTTTCAAGTCAAAAGTGAGCAGACAAGTTCTCTGGTTTGGAAATGAAGCATCTGAATCAAAATCTTAACAGGTTCAAATACTTTGAGGAAGGTTTCTAGAATTTAAATACTAAAAAAATCACTACATACTACTACTATTTTACATTTCTACTAAAAAGCCAGTAATTTCTTTTGCTATTGGCACCTAAGCAAACTTTAATCTATACAGCTCACAATTGTCTACATATTTTAATGTATCACTGACCCACCCTGTGATAATTAGCACAGCTGCAAAATACTGCCAATATCTATTCAATACTGTGAAGAAAAACGATCTCCGATCTGAATGAATTTCACTGTCAATGCCTCTTTCTCATACTTCCCAGTGAAAAAGGATAAAAAACCATAACACCAATATTATTTCTTTCCTACACTTATTGCACCAGAAGGCTGGACATCAAGATGTAAACCTTGAAGGTATTTTGTTGTAACAGAGGTTGATAAGGAATAAATATATGAATAAGAACAGCCTGCTAAAATTCAGTTAATGATTGCCCTTATTTTTCACCTTGCTGGGGTAATGCCATCATATAGCAAAACACAAAAAAGGATTTTTTTATTTAAAAAACAATTAAAAGTGACAAAATACAACTGCAGTTTCTTTGGACAGCACACAAGTCTGGCTCATTTGCTTTTGCGAAACAGTTTTTATTTGTTTATAGGCTCAGAAACCGTTAAGTGACCCTTACTTTAGGCTCTCCTGCGAGCTGGAGGATGACCTGTCCGACTGAGGGAGAGATGCTATACTGCCAGAATTCTTCAAGTAGGTCTGGAGGCTTCTTTGATAGGGTGGCTCAAGAGAATTGTACAGAGTCTCAGCTTCACTAGGAAAGTGATTTCTAAGACCCAGATAAGCCCTGCAAAATAAGAGAATCACCACATGTAATTGCTCTGTATTTTCTTCAAAATGTGTGAAGTCAGGAAGTAAAGATTAGAGAATGAACCAGGGATGGGAGGGAAAGAAACTCAGACTGGAAATACGTAATGCATGCAATACATTCAAATTGACTCAATCTTTTCAAAATAACATAAGTCTATCCTCTGAAATTCTCATATTCATCACTTACTGATTCCATGCGGAAGCAAGAGAAATTTTTTTCTGGCCTACTCACTAATCAAAGTGCTGCAGTTGTTGAATGACTTAATTGCGGGGGGTGGGAAAGAATGATTACCAACCTTTATGATTCCTGTTTCAATAGAATCCTCAAATGCTGCACGACTATTAATGGCCTCAACTTTCAGAATGTCTTTTGCAAAAGAAACTAGATATTAATTCAAGACTCTGAGACAGACACATCAATTTTCAACCTAACTTGTGCGCTCTTCTTCAGCCATTGTTACCTGCTCACATCCAATTAGACCCTTCTATTACTCATGTAAAACATACAGTTTTTCAGAGCAAAACATAGTCAAAACTCACTTTCTTGCTTCCACTCTTGCTTCTGCATCAGCATCATGAATGCCCTTCTTGATCGTTTCAACCAAGACAGCTGCATGCCTAGAAGACAGACATTCTTTATGCTATATTGCTACTCCAAATTCTATTTTAAGTAGTAAAGTTTTACACTTTAACTAACATTTCTTTAAGTAAAAAACCAGCTGAGATAGTGGTTCTTTCTAAGATATGAAGTAAACAAACACTTAAGCACACTGATGACATCGCTGCACCTTCTGTAAAGTTTTACGTAAGCTTCCTCCTTCAACATAAAAGAATTATAATCTACTTTTCAGACACACATCCACCTATCACACTTTAAAAAGAATTTTTAAAATAACATTTTAAGACCTCTACTTTGCTGAAAATAGGAAACTATTTCCCCTACTATATCAACAGTAAGAAAACTGAAAAAGTTAAGATTAGTAGATTTGCTTTCCTGGAAATTTACCTCTGAATGCTTTTGGTATTTTGACTTCTAAACTTCAAAACATCCTCAAAATCAGCAAAGTGCCCATCAGAACAACCGAAAATTGTGATCATAAACAGATTTTAATTAAAGCCATGTTTGGGGTTTTGGGTTGGTTGTTTGTTTTTTTTTTAATACACACACATACACACTCTGACATAAATCAAGTGATCTCCCCATTGCTTCGTTTCTCAGTAGCACCTTAAGGGGTTGAAAGGTGACTATGGAGTTGGACAAGCTCTTCAGAGCCTTCTCTGGCAGCCCTGTAGTCCCTTTGGTCTTACTCTGTGCTTACAGTACTACACATTCTGCAGAGCTGATGCATGTACTACTTTCCTATCTACCCGGAGAAGCTACAGTGTACTCAGTCATTACCAGAAGTTGTCCTCAGCCTAATCCCACTTGTGCTCTTTGATGATGAATACACAAATCTCCTCCTTTCAGGAGAAAAGACAAATGCTTACCTGCGCATCTTTGCTGCACAGGACAAATGATATAAGTCAAACTCTGAGAAAGCACGGTATGCACTGCTCACATACAGTACAGAAGAAGAGGCAGAGGGTAAGGAGAAGAGGCAACATGAAGTCAAGGCTGGAGCACACAGCTCTCTTCCTCCCTGGCACTTGAATGAGCCACATGACCTGCTGTGCTAGAAAGGTTGGCCAACACCGAACAACGTAATCCAATTGTAAGATTCAATGAAAAGATTTCTGTCTTAAAATTAATTACCAGTTTATTCTTGGGGAAAAAGAATACTGGCCCATACCTTTCCAGTGAATGTGTTTGCCACTCTTGTAACAACAGGTCTAAAAATTCAAAAGAGCGCCTAAAAAGACAGGACAAAAAGTTATAATTAATACTCATTTCTCTGATGTGCTTGCAGAATAAATAGTAACTTTATTCTTTCCCCCTGAGGGAAACAAATAGATAACATTTATCTGTCAAATAAGGACATTGGTCACCTTATTACAAAGTTAAAATATTCTGTAGAGAAAGCAAACATGCAGACTAACTAATCCTCAACTTCAAAAAAATAGATGTAGTTCAACAATCTGCACATTATTACACATATGCTACATTAGTTTCATTAGCCCCAAAGTAACAGACAAAAATCAGTAAAGTTTAAAAGTTGTACAAACTATAAAATCTTAATATTAAAAAATAATAGCTGAATTTTTAAAGTATTGATTAAGTCACAACATAATGTTTCTATGGCTGTGTACTTCTGCCCCAAACACTATTCCCATCCCTTCATCTGGCATTACTGAGTATGTAGCATAAAAGAAAACATGAGACCATTAATAGAGAGCTCTCCATATCGAAAGCACTCCTGAAGATTTGCTGGCACTGTACAATCTAAGTTATGTAACATTATTCATTATTAATTCAGAATTCTTGACAATTTTGCAAACAGTCATTAGCAAAAGACATACTTTAAAATATATCTGAAGCTAGATCCTGGTGAACAAATCAAAGCAACATGGATTAGGAAGGTGTAGGTAAGTCTTCCAAAAGGTAGTGGCCTATGCTGTCTGGAACTACTACTTTTTCTGGTTATGTTGCATCTTTGACCTGTTTTGGAGTGGCAGATTTAATTTTTATTCTGCCCAAATCCTTTGGCCATGTACAAGACACGGCAAGAAACCCTGAAAGGCTTTTCACTATTGTAACTGATCTAGTTTTCCTTTGTATTTCCGAAGGAATGAGAGTCAGTATGAAAACAATGCAATTTTGGCTGCCTTCATTGCCACTCATTGGACTGTGAACTACAGTACCAAACCACCTACGGTCTAATGTTCCTCATCGAAGCCATAGTGAGTGGAGGAACTGAAGCCCTGTGAATTGTTTTGCAGTCAAACCAGAAGTTATGACAGGTCAGTATAATCTGGCTTGAGATAACACTTGCTTTGGAGGCAAAGACAGCTTTGATTCAGAACAAATAGTTTAGGTGCTCAAGCTATTTCTTGCATACACAGCTATATTGCTTTCAGGGTTAGTGTGGGTCCAGAAACAGCGTTAACTGCTTTAGTGAGATTCTGTGCAGAAAATGACGCTCTGTCAGAAACCAATTAATTTTGTCAATAGCCAATCCAACTGTTTGAGTATCACGTTCTTGGAAAAAGCAACATGCTGAAGATGCACCTCAGTTGTTCAACATGACAACAAATTGATCTACCACATCCTATCTAAGATAGCAGCCACTGTCTCAATCCCACAGTCCCCAGCGTGGGAGGTTTATTATTTTGGGCACAGTATCAGACAGCCTAGCTCCACGCATTCAAAACACATTGCACGAAAGTTACAAAGTCGTCCTGGTATCAGGAAAGCAAGGTGCTGGCACACACTGCATGCAGTATGCTGTAGTGCTTCGACAAGAGCTAACCTCACTAGGCCTGTCAAGTCTGGCCCTACCAGGAACTAATAAGTTCTGGCTGGTTCTTCGCAAAGACACGCGTATCAGTTTTATGTTCTCCCAATGCCTCTCAATGTCTGTGTTGTTTATTCTCATTAGACTGAGCAACATAGATTCAACTACAGGTTTTTTTCTTTCCTTCTGGTTTTAAATCAGAAGGTACTTTTTCAACAAGTGTTAGGAACGTTTTATATTAGAATAAATTCTGCAGAAGGATACAGTGTACATCCCCCAGTACGGCAGAAAGTACCATTTCTCAACATCATCCAATGTAACTTTGCTGAAATTCATTTTGGCAGTTTACTGGATAACAGTTTTGTGTATTCAGAGTTAATGGCCATGAATCTTCAAATCTGTTTATTTTCAACATCACATTTAAAAACCAACAGCTTTAATAATTTTCTATTTATAATGTACTCACCTTCTAACTGCAACTGATTTTGAGGTACAGTTGCTTGTTATTAAAGGTATGAGTCGTGGCACATGGGTATGCTGAAGGGGGCAAAAAAAAAAAAGAGTTAATGTCAAAAGCATTCCTCAATTTGTACTGTACTAATTAAGTCAAACAGAATTAGCAACATAATAAAAATGGCATTCATTTAAAATGCTCACTGAAACTACTTGTAGAATACTGTTAAATAAGAAAATGCTGCCAGCACATGAATTGATTAAATCTATTTTTTTTCCAAAATGTCAAGCACACAGCACTTCCAATGCCATCAACAATATCACGATATGCAATATTTAGCTGTCAGAAGTCATATATGAAGGCTCAAACATGTCTCCTCAAAGGAGCCGTAAGCTGATGTTACTGCAGTTTTGGCACAGGAAAAAAAGCAATAGACATAGCAGTCTTAAAATTCAGAGTTATGGAGCAAAAAGCAAATCAATCGATCTGCAACTATGGACGTTCTTTTAGGGATCAATCAATACGATTAGTGCTACAAAGACCAAATTCCTTTTAATGCAAAATATATCAAAACAACAATAAAAGCATAGCATGTAATATAAGCAAGCTTATGTATATAATCTATATGGAAACACCTAACATCCTCATGGGAAAAGAAAACCCTTGAACTACCATTTAAAGTGGATAAGATAAACTACCTTAAATCCAAATGCAATACTTTAATTCAGAATTAAAGCAGCCTTACTTCAGCTTAACTAACTGCAGACACAAAGTATTAACATTTTAATTCCAAGTAAGAGTAACATGGTTCAACAAATCCATGTTCGGTTCATTTCTTTATTCCTTTCTTGATTAAACACGTGACTTCTAAACCAGTCCCCAATATAGGGTGAAACTATAGCCTATAATAAAAACTGCTTAAAAAGTACAGTACTGGACAATTCTTAGTATCTCATGTAATATACTTTCTCCTTAGGTTATTGTTGTGGGATATAAACACAGAAATTACCAAAAAAAAGCAGAGAGATAATTATTAGTGTTCCGAGTACTGCCAACTTCAGAATTGGGAGGGAATTAATCCAAAAATCTGGAAGAGCCTTGCAATTGCATTTGTTTGTACTGATATACTTTTAAACAGGGTTTTAGGGGGTTTGTTTGTGTTTTGCATAGTTATCAAATTGAGAAGTGCCACATGATTGGCAGAAAGGGAACAATAAGCAGTATTGGGAAAGAATAAAATGTTTTTACAGATGGAGAAACCTGTATATTCCTAGTCTTTGGAGCTAGTGATATCGTAAATTTTTTTGCAAAGGAATCAAAGCCGCAGGCTTGCTTTCATTCTGCTTTAAGACTGCACATTTCATTGGTTATCTCTTTGAAACTGTAATGATACATTCTTCCTCCCAACCTACCTCGCAGCTCAATTGCCCAACCTGAATCCCACCTCCCTTTGAAAGATTTTCTGCCATCATGCCATCTCATCATGATGCACCCTCCCCCCACTTTGTTTTGGTTTTGTTTTAATTGGCTTCCTGGTTACTAACAGTCAATGAAGACAAATCAGATTACGGTATAAGAAGAAATATGAAATCCAAGAAAGGGGTAAAGATGAGACAGAGCTTTTCAACATCACTGGTGTAATTCAGCCTCCCTCTTTTTACATACACTCACTCTCACAGCAATTAGAACTAAAGCACCAGGATCTGAACTGGCTGTCAGTGGATTCTGGTAGGAGTTTTTGAGCAAAACGTTGACTCCAAAAGCTGTCATGGCTTCGGTCCTAAATATTCAACTGATCACACACTCCTTGACCAACTCTGATTTACTCTAAAGGACAGAAGTCCAAAGGAGAGTGGGACTGCATTTCATTTGACTCTGATATTTATTTCTTTCTTTTTCCACTGAAAGATGAATTTTCTGTCAGAACACCCTGCATAAGCCATTTATTGGTTGGGTATTTCAACACTATGGGAAGGATTTTCTCACTACTTTGCCTCCAATCTAATATGTTAAATTACAGCTAAGAGTAACAGAAGTTTAAAGAAGATTAGAGCAGCTATATCTGATGTGTAGTCTTGTCTTCAACTGAACCGAACCAATAAAGCCAATTTAATATAATCAGTGATTTTTTATTTCATGCTGCTTTGCTGGTGCTTGATTCGGCTCCTGTAAACAACAAGACAAGGTTAGTTTCTCACACGCCTGAGCTCGTCTAATATTACTACAAATGGTATTCCTCTCTTACAACTTTAATTATCCTGTGTAAGGTGTATTTCTTCCTCCACTCTCAACTCTGCCATTAACCATCTCTCAGTACATTGTAAGAGTCTGAGGAAAAAACGCCAGTGGTTCTTAGCCTGAGTGCCGACACAAAGGTAATGCAGAAGTCTCAGAGCACATTATCAGAGGCACGTGTAAACAGAATAAGTACAGATTCCAAAACATACTGAGGATGGCAATAAAAGGCGCAAGTGATTAAACCACTTCGGTTTCCAACAACTTATAACAAATTAAAACCACGGATGAGGTCACAGTGAATAGCATTAAGTGCCTAGCATTAAGAACACTGCAGCTTTTAATGCAGAAAGTATAGGCAACCTCCCACTTCTATTTGGAACAGAAAAATATCAGTACAAGTCCCAAAAATCTAGCTAAATATCTTGCCTCAGACACCACTCAGTGGCAGATGCTTAAGGAACAGACAATAAAAAAACCAGCTAGTAGACAGCATTCCCCTATATGCTATAGCTTTAAAGAGTGCATCTTAGAAACCTGTGAAACCTGAGGATTAAAATCTCTGTTGGGCTTTTCTTCCATGAACTTGTGCTTTCTGAACTGATCCACATATGTCTGGCCTCTTTAACATTTTATCATTAACTCCACAGTTCCGATTTTTTTTTTTTAGTATGTATTCTTTTTGTAAAAAGAAAGTTTTGTTTTGTTGGGTTTTTTTCTTTTCTTTTTTTTAATTATTACTAGCTTCTTAAATACTAGCTTAACTTTGTCTTCTCCAAAAAGGTAGTTAAACACAGTTAGCCTTTGAAATATGCTTGTCTTTTTACAATTAACATATTACAAAAAAAAAATCATGAAAACAGACTTGCTTTTCATACCTATTCCTCCATCTTTATGATGGTAGTGCTGTTGAGTGGTTTCAACAATAAATAATATTTGTCCAGCTGTGAGAAAAATTACTTTTCCATGAAAGAATGATTTATAATCCTGTATTTCAGAATTGTTATTCTCTCTAAGAGTCACTATCTGAACATTCCTAGGAAGTAAAGTGAGAGAGGAACACCTACCCGAATAATGAATCTAATGGCTGCACACCCAGAAGTTGCCATCACTTTGGCGCTGTTGGGAACCAGATTAAAAAGAGTAGGCACAATAGCTTCAGCGCCATGATCAAACTTGTTTCCCAGAACAGTTGAAAGATGGCTATTTAGGAAAAAGAAATAAAACTTATTAACAAAAAATAATTTGTTACTCTTAAAATAACAGAATTCGTTGTACACTGTACAGATTTGTCTTTCCAAACAACAGAATTTCTTGATTTCATTATTTCCGAGTCCTTGCCTCATTAGAAATGCAGGATTTGTGGAACAATTTTGTTAACTTAGCAGACATGTTAAGAGGTTGAATGCTAATAACTTTATTTCATAATGAAAAACAAATACCACAATTTGAAAGGCTAAAATTCTCGTATCTGCATAAACTATCGTAGTATTTCTGCTTTTTAACACACTGAGTATAAGTTCTATAAGATTTCAGATTTATTGTTCAGGATTTTTTTCCTTTTGAATACAGGATGAGGACATTTACACAGTACTTTTACGCTACTCCTGACTTCATGTTAGGAAAGGTTAGCATTATGTTCTCAAAGCCTGAATTTCCCTGGCAAGGACAGCTGTATGCTCCAACAGGTCCCCATGATCTGTTCAATAAGGAGACCAGAACAGCAAGGGTGAACTCTGGGATGTACTTGTTCCACATGGCCACTTAAAATCAGTGGTTACATTAATGCCTTTCCAAAGGGAAAAAAAGCTATGGAAAACATGAAAGTGGGAAAGACTGCTCTGGTGTAAAAATAAAGCTTCCCCCCCCAAACCTTGAATTTAATGAGAGCTCCCAAAATGATGAGGATGGAGATCCTATTTCTGCTGAGCCACAGCTTCTGAAATTATCACACACATGGAAAGATTACCTCACCAAAACGTACAATGTTTTACTGAAGTTTTCACTTTATCTTTTTTAACCGTATCTCAGACAACAGTCAAACAGAAGGGCTCAAAACACTACAGGGCAGCTCACTTTGTTATTACAAGTAAACACAGTAAAATCCTGTGCCAATCACCCAAGCATAAGTGCCCCTAAGACTAGCCCCCAATACTACAGTAGTACTTCCAGCAGATAGTATTAACTTGCACCAAATACTCAGTGCAATAACTTGTTCTTCACATACAATCTGTTACAGGATTATCGACTACATATATCGCCTAGAAGAACTAATGCCTTTACATGTTTCTTTTTATCTATGGCTTCAGATGCTAAACTTGACTCTTTATCAGTCATAGTGTATAGCAATCCAACAAGATAATGTTTTATCAGTGTTGCAGGAAAGATTAAGTCAAGTTCATGCTAAATTCTAGCAACATATACAAATGCACATAAACTATACTTACGCTACAGTAATGCATGCTTCTCTAACCACCTGGGATCTGAGATCCTTGGCCGACAGCTTGAAAGCACCATCCAACAACCGTAAATGCTGGAAAAATCCATCATACTGTGCAGCTCCAGCAACAAGCAATGACCGAACTTTCTTCAGCTAAAAAATTTAAGGCATTTAGTTTAGGACATTACCCATATGCACTTCAAATAATAATAATAAAAAAGTAACAACTTCATTGCAAAAAATGTACAGAGACACATCTTTAAAGCAAAGCATCATTTTGAAGTATATGGCAGTAATTTTAAAAAAATGTAAAAAAAATTCTATTACTTAAATTCTAGAGCTAAAAAGTCTCAGATCCCAGTCTACAAATATACAAATACATAATTCTGTTCACATACCTGTTTCCAAACACTAAGATGTTATAAATCTGACCAAAATATAAATGCTACATACACACAAACATTTAAATCCTGCAACTTACCGTAGTCACACGAGAGATACTAATGCTAGCAGTTTACCAGCAGAATATGTAATTTTGCATAAATGCCAACTGAAACATACACGACAGCTTTTAGAAAAGCTTCCACTTAAATGTCAGCAAAACTGTATTTAGACCTTTTTAAAATACTTGCTCAAACTTATTTGGTATATGGAAATTCAATGTTTAAAAATTAAAATGAAAATTTGATTATCTGGGTTGTAATTACTTTAAGAAAAAAAACATTTTAAAATATCTAGCTACCTGTGCTTAATGAAATACACCCACCCAAACCTGAAACCAGATAAAAAGTTTACCGCATTAGTTCGTTGATCCCAATCATGTTTGTCATCTGAGAGAATTTCCCTGATTTTGTTCAACGTTTCTTCAAGTTCTCGACTAGAATAGATCTAAAGTGTTAAAGAAGAAAAAAATTTGTACTGTTAATATCCCAGGTTATCTGATGAAGGAAAATAGTTTGAGAAGACTGAAAATGCAATTACAATTCTGAAAATCTTGCCCCAAAAGTTCCAGAGAACTGTGTAAGAGGTATAAATGGGTGTTTTAAGGCAAATCTTTGAGGATATCACTGAGTAGTGAATATTCATTAAAAGAAAAGCTGAAGAATCAACATTTTGCTCAAGATTTCACCTTTGCGATGAACTAATCGTATACAGAATTACATTTACTCCATTTAAAAAAAAATTCAAAACGAGCAGAGGTTTTAGATAACCTGTTGCAATACCATTGCAATTCAATTTCATTCTCATACCCACTATTACAATGATACTCAACCAACAGATTTTAACCTGATGCAACTCTTTTGGGGCAGTGACTCTCTTCCGTGTTACAAGAGTGTATTACTACTCCAAGCCTAGCATTTATTAACTTATGCAGTCAGTAAGTAAGTGTAAGGGGCAGCCTCCAGTCAGAGTTCTCTATTATCTACACAGTAACTGCAGCAAAATTGAAGCCTGACCAATACATGGTAATTGGTAATACATGAATTAATGCATTTATTGACAACTGTACACACACAACTGTGGATTTCTAAAGAAGAAAATAAAAAAAGTAGTCATGAAAACATATTATTAACATCAGAAAAAAACTGACTTCCCCTCTATTCTCCTAAACATAAGCCACAGGACACACTTTTCTGCTTCCACTGAATATGCAGAATTTAGAGGTTTTGTCCCCCAGATAGAGAACCAGTTGAAGAGGTTAGTAATTCGCTTCATATCCAGAAACTTGACCTGGCCAGAATTTTTTTCTAAAATATATTTTCAGCTAAAGATTTCCAATTTTTTGGATCAAAAGTTGTTTACATAAACACACTGGGCTAAACTGAGTTTCCCATACACAGGCATCTGGTGCTACGTGAGACACATTCAAGACATCCACATGGGGCTGGCAGATACGATTCAGGACTTCAAGGAAACTCATATCCTTCCAGGGTGAAAGCTGAAGGCCAGCATGGTAACTTACATAGCACCTAAATAGTAGTGCCTGATGTTCCCTCATTGTTTATTTCAGTCCAAGATATTTTTTTTTTTTATGTGCAAGAGCACAGAGCGTGTAGAGGAAACAAGGATCAATGGTTAGCATATCTTGCTTTGCATGAATTGCTGAAAAGCTTTGACACTGGTCTCTTGACCACACTGTTCTGCATGTATATATGCATCTTTTATTTTACTGTAAAAAGACTTAGGAACGTCCTTCTGTTCTACAGTTAAGCTGAACGCGTATTTTCTACAAAGTATCTTATTTTCCTAGGCACCTTGAAATTATCACAAGAGTCATTCCAAATACAGTCTACTGTTCCAATTTCCTGAGCACGTCAAATGAATTTAACTTACAGTAGACATGGGACCTTGACTCTACTGACATTTACTTTTGTCCAGTCCTTTAATAGAACATGGTTATGGAGATGTCTGTTTCATAGTGGAATATTGAGGAAGTGGAAGACATCCATGCTCTAAAACACCTGCATATCTGGTTTGTAGGATAAACAGGGTAGGAATCACTTCAGAAACAGATGAATTAGTACACCCAGACGAGCTTCACTGTCATGTAAAAAACAATTTCTGAATATGCTTTACGAACAAAATTGAAATTTTTATTACCACACAGGTGTGTAAGCTTTTCCAGGGTACTCTGTGGAAGCACCTTTGCAGTTCTGTCCAGGGGACACAACTGCATCCATAAAAAAAACCAAAAAGCTATTCCTCACAATTACTACTTTCTTCTTCATTAGAAGTCAATAAACATCTGATACATAACTTGTTTAAGAGCAGCAAATGATTTAATGAACACAGCAGATCCAAATGTTAACAGACTTTCTACTCCACTGCCCACAAAATCAAACATGAGTTTTGTATCACCGTTTAACCCACCTGTGTATACTGGTAGCATATAATACTTGTTACACAACACTTATTTATTTTAACACTAATTCTATAGTTACCACGCTATTAAGAATAAATATTATGTGTGTCCTGGTAAGCATTTTTATCAAATTAAATTTCCATTACCAAAGAAAATTCTTATTTTCCTTTTAAAAGTGGAAGGGAGTAGTCACTGCTTAACTAGACATGCAATTTCACATTACGGTGACCCTAATGCCATTAGAATTCATGGCACGATTCAACCTCCTCAGGCTCCTTTACCATCACCCACTTTGCTCTGTCTCCTTCCCAATTCAGGTTTTTAACACATAAAAAGCTAACCCTGCAAGAGGAAAGGCAAAAATTTTTCTGCCAGCTCAGCAGCCTATGCCAACTTATCACAAAGAAATGCAACAAGAAGTGAAGTAGGATCACGCCTTTTGGTGGGAGCTAACTGAGATCTGTCTAGTGCACACTCGAAACTTAGTCTGAGGTTATGGTCAAGGTACAAATACCTTTTGTAAGCTGTCTCAGAGTAGTTCCTCAAAAATAGGACATTTTTTTGTTGTTGGCCTACATGTTATCAGAGACCATGTGCTCTAGTCACTGCCACAGGATTAAAACATGCTAAGCAATAGGCAAGCACAGAAGCAACAGGTACAATGGGTTTATGCCCGCCCTACTTGCATTCCTAGGTAAAAAAAAAATTATTTTTTCTTTAATTACCTGGCACAAACAGAATTGGATCTATGCAGTTTCTGCTATTCAAATTGGCATTGTAATGAAAAAATTAGTAAATGGCATAATTTCATCTTGCCATGAAATTAAAACTGTAATTCCACTGAAAAATCCCAAATTGTCAAGGTTGTCCATACCTATATTAGTTTCAGAGGAATAAAAGGTAATATTTTAATAATTTCTTTTCTCTCTACCCTTGATTAATTATGCTTTTAGAAGGCTAAGATGAAATTCTGTGTTCAATGACACAATACATTTTTTTGTTCATAAGTTCCCACATCAGACTTTCCTAAAAACAATTAACAATTTGTTTTGAAACAAATTCTAGCTATTAATGGGAGTTACTCCTAGTAACCTGAACACAGAATTTTCTTCAATTTAAGCAAAAGCAAATAAACAGAGTTGTAAAATATTATGGTTGTAATCTTAAATATGAAGGCACAATCCTCTCACCACTATACTTCTCTTTTTGACACAAAGATCCATCACACTCTATCTGAAAATCACCCATCTTCTTCATAAACTGCTGTTATCCATTAGAGGGCAACACACACACACCATTAACAGTGTGCAACATCAAAGACAGAAAAATGAAAAGCTCAAACACAAATAGAGTAATAACTATACAGATGGAAAGCATTTCCAATATGGGAATTGCAAACTAGATATGAGTAAACAATATGATATTCCTAAAAACAATGACGAGCAGTCATTGGAACAGGTTACTGGAAAGACAGATCTGACATTGGAGGCTTTTAAGAATGAGTTAAACATGCACTCACCGTAACTAACCTCGATTTACTTGATTAATCCAGATGCATTTAATCTTGATTCAGAATTGGATCCATTTTTTCATAATATAGTTCCCTTCCTTACTTTCACTGAAGGCACTACTAATACCCAAAAATGTAATGAAAACAGAAAGACATAGGAATGGGCCCAATAATGTACAAACAACTCTTCCCCATTCTGTCTAACACGTTTCCTTTGCTTTTAGAATAACCTGGCAAATTACAGGTTGTAAACATTCTTTCTTCACAGGGTCTAGTACAGAAACTTCTCTCTTCCTTAGTAATTAACATGGCCTCAGAACATGGGAACTGCCTTGTCTTGGAAAGACCAGAGATTGTCCACAACTAGAAGCATGAAGTTGGACAGCAGCAAGTCATTATTCCTAAGGATACTCCCCAAAAAAATTTGTGTGGTTTTTTTCTTGTCGTTGCCTGGCCAGCAAGTCTTTCTTACATTCTCATCCATGAAACAAATAGGTTGTTTTGAGGTCAGTTACACATTTTGCACCCTCACCCCAAAGCGGGTGAGATTAGTAAAGACAAATGGGTGTTTGTCCTCCACCTCTTGCAGTTTAGGAATGACCTACCTTCCTAGGTCACCAGCAGTCAGAAAAATCACATGCTCTCGTCAATGACATACAGTTACCCAACTTTTGTTCTTGCAATGTTATTAACCAACTTGAGTGATTAGAGAACTCTGCATGGGACTGCAAATATTAAGTCATGGAACTACAGGCAGTATGTTTTCTGTGCCGTGTAATATGTCTCTGTTCAACATAATAGGGATAAATAATATTAAGACCTCCTCTAAAGAATTCCTAACACAGTTTGGAGAGGCAAAGAAACATGAAGCTCTTGCAGCACAGGACAAAGATTTCTGCAATGTGACAGGAAGCATGGAGATAAAGCGTTCCTTCATAAAAGCAGACAGTGTTTCTGCCTACAGGAGGAGAGTAAGGGATGCCATCCAGAGGGACCTTGACAGGCTTGAGAGGTGGACCCATGCAAACCTCATGAAGTTCAACAAGGCCAAGTGCAAGGTCCTGCACACGGGTTGGCACAATCCCAAGCACAAATACAGCCTGGGTGGAGAATGGAGAGAGAGCAGCCCAGAGGAAAAGAACTTGGGGGTGTTGGCTGATGAGCTCAACATGACCTGGTAATATGCACTTTAGGTGATCTTTAAGGTCCCTTCCAACCCAAACCATTCTATGATCTAACAAATAACTACGCTATTATCTTGGGAGATAAAAATAGAACAAAAGTACGTACCAAGAAAATCATACAAAATCCTTCTGGTGTTTGGGAACTATGGACGACTGAGGTTTTGCTTGCCTTCTATACCTCAGCTGCTCAAGGAAAACTTATTCAAAATAGGTCTAGGAGGATACCAGCATGTTAAATGACTCAACTGTGTGAAAGTACCAAGTATGTGCAATTCCCACACTTAAAGAACAGAAAGTAAAAATCTTTCAACTAAGAACTCCGAATCCAACAGGTTCATCAGTATTCAAATAAGGCACTAATTTTTTTTAAGTATTGCTAGAGACGAAGACATGTATGCCAGACACACATCATTACAGTTCAGACACATTTGAAAATACAATTGTTTTTTTTAAATGATTTCCCATGAAATGGCAGTCCTAAATTTTTCAAACATTATGGAAATTTTTTATTAAAATTGAAACATATAATTATTTTCAGTAGCTCCCTGGAAAAAGATTAAGAAAAATTATAATGGATTTTAGCTGAAACACAATGTGATAATAATTAGTAGGACAATAAAGAAAAGGGGAGGGTGTGTTTTGGTAACTAATTGGAAAGAGTTTTCCATGGACACTGTAAATTCAGAAAGAAGGAAAAGTAATGATGCTTAGAGGACCGTAAAATTAAAGAAGTTTTAAAAGTAGGCTAACATATAGTATTGCAAATAGTGTATTTCTGAAAACAAACATGAGGATACACAGCACCTTACCTGTACAGTAGGAACATCTGTAAATGCCTTAATAAAATCATCCTCATCCACAGCTCCAGCTCCTCCTTCTTTAGAGGAACCTACATAAATGTAAAATACTGTTAAACATTATGTAACATGTCAAGGTTTTCAAACTGACATAAGCATCTTTCACAATACCTATTTTCAAACATTTAATATAACTTACAAAAATCCTGATCATTCACCATATGTAAAATTACAAGACCTTGAACTCTGATTTCACCGTGAATAAGAAAAAAGAAAATAATTTGAAAACAGTGTCTGGATTACACTTTCTTGCAAATACTAGTGTTACCAAGAAAGCCCTTTTTTAAAAGAAATGAGCTCAAGTTTGCTGTCAAATCAAACAAGGTCATCAGACCCAGGCTGCGCTACAAGCCTAAAACTGCGTAACAAGCCTAAAACTCCAAGTACAAGGTGAAGCTTGGCAGAATCCTTAAATATCTTCAATAATTGAATCAGGTAGATATTATGACAAGTTAACCACATGGAGATAATCAGTCCAGTAGAATATTTCCTTCCTGAGAGGAAAAATAAAAAATAAAAATAAAAAATCTTTTACAGCAACTGAGCACTTCGGAACAAGGGTCTTGTCTCAACTCTTTCAGAGTGAGGCCAACAGGATAGCTGGTAGAATGTCCTCCCTTACTTGCAGAGCACAGCTGAAATGGAGGTCTCAGGCAGAGAAGACATGTATTTTACTAACAACAGAGCAAATAAAAACCCATAAGGAAAAAACAGTTAAGGCTGAGTGGTCAACCAAACCAAAAAGCTAGGACTTCTTGAAAAAACAAACTCTTGGTGACTGCACTCTTCAAAAATATTTCAGTTTACAATCCCTGATCTCCTATTTATAGTGCAGGGAATTATGTCTGTTGTGTTTGCATACTTGTGCAGTTTGGAAACATGAGGGTCCACTACCACCAAAAATTTCATAGTAAACTTACTACATCTCAACATCTCTATGCAGAACAAGATCTCTCATGTGCCTTTGTAGCTGATTAGTGTAAAAACAGTGAAGTCACATCTAGCAAAATTTGGACATGGTGCCTGTGGTATGATATAGGAACATCTAACAAATTTTGACAGCCTAGGCTCAAGGATGCTGTAAAGAGACGCTGTACATAATGCATTTCTACATGTGTATCTCCAACACCATCTGTCATAATTGCCAATAGCAGCCAGACGGGAAAGAAGAAATTATAGCAGCTTATTTCTTCTCCTTCCAGACAGGAGAGGGAACAAGTCCTTCCACAAAGTGAATGAGTACCTGCCTGGCTAAGAGGAGGGAAATATGCCGTTTACACCGAGAACACACCCTTCTGCCACACAATCTTGTACAGCTCCTAAAAGGGAGGATGCCCTGGTCAGAGCAGAATTTTGTGGAAAGAAAGAATTTGGCACAGTGGCACCATGTTAAACTAGATGGTACAAACAGCCACCTGGATGCTCAATTCATAACCTCATTTGTCCCTCTCAAAATACCCTGACATTTAAGAAAGTCTCATAGTACCAAAATAACTACAATTGATATGCAGTACATACTCAGTACATACTTTCATAAATGGGAAAGAAATCTTAAAATTTTTCAAGGTTAAAACATAGTTTTCATATGGTCAAAGAACTTATTTTTAAAAACATTTAGAATTATATAAACAGTTCATGAAAGGATTCTGTTCTGATCAAAATTCGGTCAAAGCTAACCCATTGATTTTGTGACAACACAGTAAGCCCCTAGGAAGCTCATACTACATGTTTCTTTGCAACCTGATAAAATATTAAGGCCACAGTGATCCCATGACACTAGAGGCAACCCCCGCCCCCAGCAATTAACAGCTTATACAAGTCTTGTATTATTATTGAGTTACATAAATACCCAAATGCCATTGTTAAAGCAGGGAAAAAAGTACTTTGCATTCCCATCCATCACTTACCAATTTTCTGCCAAGGGCATACACTTAGAGAAATCAAACACTGAAATTGACACATACAGGCCATGAACATAAAAACCCTAGAAAATGTTTAGATTTCAAGTACTCATATTACACTGCTGTACATTATAAAGATTGAAAGGGGAGGAAGTTGCCTTTGCTAAATAAGTAGACATTGTCATCTTTAGTCTGCCTTTTAAAATCAGACAATAGCATGGACTACAAGACAGATTTTTCTAGCACTTCAACATCATCCAATAATGCATCCTGAGGAATAAAAGAAAATCCTTTATCTAAGGAATAACTATTTATTACTTTAAAGAGAGAAAGAAGGACAGACTACTATTTAAAATCCATTTGACTAGTTCCCACACACAGCATTTCCCATCTTCCCTAGTCTCAACAACTAGTTCATTTCTACAGACCACTTCTATTTGAAATTAATAGTCCCAGAAATCGTTTTATTGCCTCTCTGCCTGGTAATAAAAAAGGTTATGTGGGGGGGTTTTGGCAGGTGACACTTCTTTAAAGTTATCTCTAAAAGCACATTCACTTCTATTTCACTAATCTTTCTCCTCCTCAACTGCATAATCACATATGCATACCAAAATAAAGTGCAAAGCAACTGTCCTCTCTTTATAGTGTATACAAGTCAAAACTCCACACTGCACGAGGAGGAAAAAATACTATTCAACCTTTCCCTTCCTGAACTCTTTGTAGGTATGTTTACCAATTCTGTTTACCAAGTCACTGCTTCTGAAGAGACTAACCAAAAAAATGACAGAACTCAATCCACTGAACTCAATCTCCATTCAGGTGAAAGTCTTTTACTATGCTAACAAGATACATAATAGTCACAAACACGTAGATGCCTTCAAAGGACTTCTCATGCTTTTGTAAAGCTTGAGTTTCCTCTCACCAGCAGAGCTTTACAAAATTCTCATTTCAGACAGCAGTGCCTACAGACTCAAAACTGACATATCTGACAGAGCACACATATTTTGATAAGCTGATTTGCTGTTGTTGTTGCTCACCTTCTCAGACCAAGCCGAGATCATAAATTTGTTAGAAGTATCTCTCTCAAGTTTTAATGCCTTCCACTGAATAGTGCATGTTCTTAACCTTACCCACAGAACACATAATCCTTTGACCAAGTACAGATAAGTTCAACCACTGCATTCCTAATAGCAAGAACACTATAAACAATTCTAAGGGGCTGTAACTCCACTGCATTTAACATCTTTAAGCGCCCAGTAGATAACTAAAATCCAGAGCCTCATTAACTGGCTTTTTTTCAAATGAGTGCAATTTACATTATCCTACCTTTGGACTCAACCCACTGAATCCAATGGGGCCTCCCTCAGCTGAGGCCCAGAAGAGAACAGCATCTGAAGGAGATCCACACAAGACATTTATCTACATTATTTGTTAGTTTTCATTCATAACCTTTACTTGTTTTTATCCTTCAAGCACTCTGATTGGACAGATGCACCCAGACCTGCAAGCCTAAGTTCCACTTCAGGAAGCTGCCGAGAATCAACCAAACATAACAAACAGACTTGATATGGAAGTAAATTACAGCAGCTGAAGCACCTTGTGAGTTTTATGGTGGATTTGTGGTTTATTTATTTTTTTTAAACTTAAGTTCAATGAGTCTCAGGACAGAGGCAAAGGAAACAAACCACTCCCTGCAGACTAGTAAGCACATCAGTAAGAACTTATGACATCTTCATAAGTTCAATTTAAGGATTTCTAACATTTTGTGAGGCCCTAGGAGTCTTTTTTTAAAGAAAGTTTTTTTCAGTCACAAGGCTTTGAGTTTAGCATTGTTAATAGCTCAACAGCAGAAAGGGTACTGGTATGCAACCAAAGAAACTACCTAGTCTTTTGTAGGATCAGTTTTCTCACCCAGGAATTAACTCCTACAGTTGAGTTCTTCCCCTCTTCCGACTGAATCATTTGAAATCTTTCCATATCATCACAACTTTGGACTGCTCACCTGCTCTACGACCTTGTTGCTTTCCGCACTAGTATCTACAAATGGGCGTGATGGGCATGACAAAACAACGGAACAACACTATATGGGAGAAGAAAGATGTCATGAGAGTGATACCGGACTGGGTTTTGTTGGGTTTTGTTTTTTTTTAAACAAAGAACTGTTTAATCAAAGCATTCTTAACTTTAATAAAGCATACAAGCACTGGTCTAAAAATAAAAAATTGCTTAACTTATATTTGGTAGCCACTCTTTACTAGTCAAATTCATTTTTTTCTGCTTCTGTGAGTCTTTTGACTAACATTTCAGAACAAAAATCTCCCTATGAAAAAGGGAATTTCAAAACTAGTACAAAAACTTAGAAGTAACACAAACTCTAAAATGTTGTTTCACTTTTGTTCTTAAAAGCTTTTCTCAACAGACTTCCCAATAAAAAAATTGTAACTATTTTCTGATACAATGCACATCACAAATTAAGTGTTAGTAAACTTTGAAAAGGGTACTGTTATACACGCCTTTTATCCCTCAGAACTCTAATTGTACACAGTATCTTACTGAGCAACACATGATGCAGGTTACAATTTCTTTCTGAACAAAAAAAAAAACCCTAAAGCTATATCACATCTGAACTAATTCAAAAGTTTCATTTCTTATCTACCAGACACTGAAGCAGAAGTAAAAGATGCAGATCATTCTGGAGTCTAATAAATAAAAAATACTGTTACCTTTTTGGTTTTGTGGGATAATAAACAATCAGCTGTAAATTAGGAATTGACAGTAGCTTCAGCTCAGCATGGGCTAAGTGGACAGGATATGATCAAGTACTTACTCAGCTTTTTGCATAATAGGTTGATCGGCATCCCCACTCACTCCTACTGACCTGCCTCATTCTAGTACTAGTACAGCTAAATAGTAAATCACAACAGGGAGTGCCTAAATTGAGAATAAAATAAACTGGCCAAGAATGGTTTCAATGAGGCAGGTTCCCTGGTCTGCTTCACTGTGGGACCGTATAAACACTGTGCCAGCAGAATCCAATGGATGACTTGGGGTATGAGTTAGTGGAGATAGGGAAGGAAATTACTCCAGGCAGCATAAACAACAGTACAGCTGCTGAAAGCCTAAGCATAGGC